TACCAAATATGCCAAAGATGTCTACAAAATTATCTCAGTTACTATTAAAAAACTGATTATTTTTGAAAACTTTGCCACCCTGTATCTCAAAAGTTAAGGCGTTTAGGACATACGTCCATGGGAAGTTTTTTCTTAAAATTCTTAAATATTAGCGTTTAAGGAACACCCTCTAGAGAAGCAGTTTCGCAAGCTTGGTCATGCAATGAGTGATAAACTCAAATTAGATGTGATGTGATGCTTGAGTTTGAGGAAAATCCACATACATCGAGTAGACAGGCAAGTTTGGACAGCAAACCCTGATGCTACACACGGTCAAAGGTCTTAGAAATATCAAGTGCAACAGCGCTTGATTCTCCATGTTCCCCGATTGCGTTATTCCATACAACTACGTCATGGATATTCATTAAGTATCGGCCAATTCGATCACATATAACTAGAAGGGGAATAAAAATTCCTGCAATAGTCAATATTTTCTTCTGTTGGAATTTTTTTCCATTGAATAATCTGTAATCCAGGTTGATAATTGATCTCAACAGCCACATGAATATTCTATCATGCCACGAGCTAATCCAGACAACAATGTTACAATCGAGTGGAATTTTGCATAGTATACTGATAATAGCGAGATAATGAGAATGGTTCATTTTCAGCCATGCAAAAAGTTAATCAATCATTGTTGCCTGGGATTTTGTAGTGCTTGTTAATCTGAAGGAAATTTGAACTGGGGTCATATAGACTTCTAGGTGCACATACAATTTCCATGCAAACAGTTTCATTCACGTTGACGCATATGTTTCCATATGACATCAGCCATCGAATTTCTGTAATGCTATATCAACTAGACCCAGTTAACACAGGATATCAATTGGACATCCGTAAGAGGTACTACTTTGGTACCTACGGAAATGGACATTACAGGTACATCAATGAAAAGCCATTATTTGGCAACACAAACATGTACGTTGAATGGACGCCCATGTGTTGTCCCTGAATTGTGGATATCTTTCTATATACTTAAAAAGGACTTTGAGAGGATATCCATGAAAGGTAAATTACTGCTGCATAATTGCATATGAAACGGACCTGAGATGGACAATTAGTGGATGTCTTGTTTGAAAATCATCAGTGTTATTATTAGAATGACTGGTGCCTCAGCTATACTTGTTTCCTTATAGTTTCAATTTTTTAAGGACAAAACACAAGCACTACAGAAAAATTGCGAAAGTAGCGATTCACAATGGATTTGACTCAAAAACGAACAAAACTTTTGAAGCAGCCTAAACGTTAGTTTCTATAGTCTACCAATTGAATAAGATTCGAAGAGATTATATGCTAATACCACTAACTTATAAATAAGTTGTGCAGAAAAGGCATTATAAACATTTTTCATACCGGCCAATATTCAGTTTAGAACAACAACAAAATTTCATATTCAAGTCAAATAAGGTGTGCATGATTTTCCTCAAATAATCAAACCAAATATTTTCATTTCAAACAATCACTCTCTATCCAAATAGTAGTGCAACATATCACTTACAGGGTAAACATTGCGATCTGGTTTCATTGTAGTACGAAATAGTATCACAATCACATTTTCCATTTCTACATATTTCTCCTTCAGTTGTACATTGGCTGTTTTTTTCACAGACTTCATTTCGACATTGTATCCCTAAAAACCAGTTTCAAATCTGAAGACTGAAAGATTCGTCATATTTTTAGTGTGTCAATGAAAAACTACTTACCTAATATATTTACCCAAATGAGAAATGTGCACGTGATATAATTCATATCTGTTCAATTCTCATCTCACCTTTGCTATTCGATTGAGTAGAAACTATTTGAAACGGCTCGCATTTGTATTTATCGGAAATAGAGATTAAAATCTAATCTTTGAATAATTTGAAACAAATCGACAAGATTGCAAAATGGAGTAATCACTGAAATAAACTGGTCAACCATTACGAGGTTTATCGAAACCGATAAAGGTTTGTTATCAGTTTTGGAATCATCATAAGGTCTAAAGATTATGAAAAATCAATAGAATGCGCCATAAAAAGCAAATGAAAATGAAGGAGAATGCCAAATTTTATTTTTTTTACTATTTCAATGGCATCCTGCCACAATAAAAATAAAAAGTGTAGTCACTATAAGTGATTTGTTCTGAACCACAACAAGTCACGCTTTCCTACGAACACATATTATGATTGTTGTGAGCACTTATACAGTGTGTAACAACGAAAACTTAATATAAAAAGTAAGATTTTTAAAAAAAACTTGGACACGTCGATTTCTAATTGAAGGGGACACCTTTCAGACTAATCAGATTTTTTGTAGTACCCACCCCCTCGGAGGGGTGCGTCCGACGACCCTTATTTAGATATGGAAAGTAGGTCGATTGGCACCTTGTTTTGAAGGTCTTTCGAATACCTTTACATCTCTGTTGAAAGAAAATTTTTGTAACGATTAGTTTTCGAGATAATTTGAAGATTTTTATTGAGTTCAACTCTTTTTAAAATAAATCAAATAGATGATTCCTCTTTCAGTCGATTGGTGGTGGTTGGATTCGTGGTTCAGATATACTGTCTCGTATGAGTGGGTTTTCGGTATACAGACGTTTCCCACTTAGTGTCGTTCCTCTTCACCAAAACGTCTAAGAATGGCAATTCGTTGTGGATTTCCTTCTCCATTGTGAAATTGATGGAAGGTCTAGTTGTTTCAGGGATTTCAAATCATTTTATATAGAAGACAATGGAAGTCCGAACTAGTGAAATTCATCATGAAACATTGTCAATCACCTTCAAACATCCAATATATTGCTTTGCTGACGACAGCACACTTGTCTCGTCATTTCATTTGGATTGCAGAACATTGGCTGCGGATGCCCATCTTCACCAACAGCAAAGAGTTGTATGTCTTAATGAGGATCTAGAGGTGATTTCGAATTGGGGTGAAAGTAACCAGGTTCAATTCAGCGCCATGAAAACTCAGGCATCGATTTACTCCAGAAAGATAAATGTCTCCGAACCGGATATAATAATGTCAGATCAGACAATTCCGCTTTCTGCTTCGATAAGTTTGTTGGGGGTTAAAATAGACACCAATATATCTTGGCAGAATCATGTCGCTACAATGAGCCTTTTTCCTGAGAATAGTACAGCGAACGTGTCACGAGAGGCAGCACTAGTAGTAGGGTCAAACATAAATTATCCACATGTAAAACAGTGTTATTTACGTTATATTAATTTATCATTGATGATCTTCAAACAAGACTCAACTTCTAACGGAAACAAGAAATTCTTTGGAAGGTTCGAAATAGATGAACATTTCAATCTAGCAGACCACTATTATAATATTCATGCAGTCATTGTTCACTGTGGTTCTGGCGTTGAATTTGGTCATTATTACGCCTTGGCCAAAGACGAAACGGACTGGTTTAAATTTGACGATAGTCGTGTCACGAAGTGTTCTGGCGATGCAATGAATTTATTGGAGCCTCTGGAGACACCCTACATTTTGTTTTATAAGAGAGAGGACATTGTTAGATCAAGATCTTCAGATGATGTGGTGCTGCAGGTTTTTCCAGGTTTTCCTGCAGCCGAAAAAGCAAATGCGCCACTGGAATCAACCAAGTCCCGGAGCACCAATTAATTTTTATTGTTGTTTTTATTTTATTTTTATCGTTGATTAAAAATATAAATCTGATATAAAAAATTATTTTGTGCTAGTATAATGCCAACAAAACATTGCTGTTTTGCGAATTGTACGTCGAATAATCGATATCCAGGAGAAAACGTGGTTTTTATACCATTTATAAAACCTTATATTAATGAGGTTAGATGTATGAAATGGATACAAGCTTCGATAAGAGTGCAAAAAATAAATAAATATTCATATGTATGTTCTAAACATGTAATGAATAGTAAACTTTTCTTAGTTAAGTACCATTGATTAGAATGAGATATAACCTCAATCGTTCATTAAACTATATTCATTTATTATATTTAATTAAATTTATTTCATAACCATCTATATTTGATTCATATACCACTCGGAAATAAATCTGAAATTCATAATTATTTTAAATTTCTTTTATTACAGTTTGAATCTACCGCTACTATTTTACTAGAGTCTGTATACTAACCTGTCTATTAATTCACTTTTTTTCCAGTTACTTTTGAATTACGGCATGTATGCCAACGTTTTAGTGTTACAACATTGTTATCCTTTGCAGTTGCAAATTTTAGTTTTCCTCCAGGAACATTTTCTTGTGTTAAAAACATTCTTTTTTAATTGTACTTTACCATATGTTTATATGAGGATAATGCAGTGTTTGTCCCTACCGAACTACTAGCGCTGCTAGTGAGTGATTTTTCGTACTTCAGGAAAAAGGTTCATTGCATAAGTTGCTTCTTAAAATAAAAGCTTGGAACACTGTTCCCACCGTGTTAGGAATCACACGTTGAACGGTAAGACCTCGTTAGTCCTTAGCTCGTACAAGTTTCTCCACTTCTGAGAGTTGTCGTTCGTATGGGGAGCGACAGCTGATTAACGGAAAACATTTTTTTTTCAAACTGTGATTGATCCATGTTTCGCGGCCGAAACATGGATCTATTTTTCGGACTATTTATTCTCCTGAGAGAAATTCCAAAAAACGGCGCCCTTGGAACCCAAAAAATAGTGACACTTCAACAGTTAAGTTAAGAAATTTTCATGCTGAGTAATTCCAAAACGACTACATCAGAATAAAAGTCAACTAGAAACCTTCAAGCATCAGTAATGAAATGAAACAACAGGAAGACAGTACTTTCATATTTTCTATGAAGCCCACGTTTATGAACTGATTTTGTAATCACAAGCTTTGTTTCCCAAGTGAATCATGCAGGTACGAATTCGTTGCTGAACCTTTATCATTTCAGGATGAGGTGGTTTTGTATATTTGAACAAAATATCTAGTCCAGTTATGAATTTTTTCATTGCGTTGTCAAATTGTCCCAATCCAAACAAAGTTTCTGCTTCAGGCAAAATTTCATCCAGTACCTAAAAAAATTCGCTCAATGTTGTGCATATTCAATGTGAAATAAAGCCGGAAAAAATTCGATAGAAGGATTTTAAGGCCTTCTTGGATTATGAATCGATTTTTCTGGTGAAGTTTGAACAGAGTTTGTCCACACTGTCTATTGATTTCAAATGGATATAAGAAAGGGTTGCACTCACCATGAGCCCTTTTAGGTGAGGGAAAATAGTGGTTACATTGTGACAATAGTCGCAGGTCAAAAATGGGTCATCTTCAGCTCGCACCACGTGAACAAATGGACATCTATCTGTTTTGCAAGCAATTCTCAATTCATTCTCCCTCATCTCATCAAACATAGGCCACATTTCAACGCATGGAATGCATAAGCACTCGAACCAATAGTTGTTCTTCAATATGTCTTGTCTTTTTTCCGTAGGCATTGTCATGTATAGTGGCCCATAATTTTCGTAAATGATTTCGCCAGCTTTTATTGGTTTAATAGTACGAACGACCATTTTATTTTTAATATTATACCTGAAAATACATTTTTTTACAAAAATTGAAATTATCATCACATCTTAGTTTCTTGAAAAAATTACTTTGGAACAATATTAACTCGAGGTCGTTAACTCTCTTACGGGAATATATTTCATAAAGCAAAAAACTGGGCAAATATAATAAGTGGAAGAACTCATGTGAAAATAAGCGGAACATAATAATTATGAAAGTACATGAAAATCTAAAGAAAATAATCCAGTGTCGTTCTCCAGAGTTCACTTTTTAGCAGCACAGAAAACCCTAACTCACTTTGGACTCCTCTATCTTTGAAGTAGAATATACAGGAAATCAATTGCACCTACTTCTGCAACTGCTCCAACTTCTGCAAAAACTACTGTGTAGATTCACATCAACGAAGTATAGTCCAATTATAGTTCAAAAAGTACAACAGATCAACACCTTCAGAAGGGCAATAACCTTGGTTTGCAATCCAGTGGTCTCAAATGCACCATCACACTAGTCACTAGTCATAATTGCATCTAGTGTAGCTTTGGACGGAAGATAATGTTGGTATTGCGTTGCGGTGGATGTAGCTTTTCAGAAGAGTACTTTGAGAACCGACATGGACTTTTCTTACCCCTTTCGAAAGTACATGAATGTGTTTTTGGATTACTTTTAGTTGCCTAAATAACATTATGACTTACTTCTAGATCACAACTGTTTTTCACTCTAATATATTACCTACTTGTATGCCTACTTTCTAATGAAAGGTCAGGTATAAATTCATCAAATATATGTTATAGTTGTAATTTAGAAGTAACTTATCATTAACGCTTGAGAAAGCTATTGTATAGCGAAACACGTGTCGCGGTTTTTGTAAAACTCTTTATAGTGAAAATCATACAATAAACTGTATCAATGAGTCTTAAATGTGCATTCATACAGTCAATGTTCTTTAGGTATCTGTATCTGTAGAGTAGGTAGGGTGAGTGTAAGCCCACGCACTTAAGCCACATGTGACCCATTGTACATCCTCCCGAGGAGTTGTCCTCCTAGGTCATCGTCCATCCTGTCCTTTCCAGGAAGGTGGACAGGTCGCTGGGAGACATCTCCTTAATATCGGCAGGTGTAGGCCAAGACTCGCCGAACACACACTCTCTTATTGACGATAACTCCGGGCACTCGCACAGGACATGCCTGACAGTCTCATCTTCCTGTTCACACATCCTGCATAGAGGTTTGTCCACTAGCCCCATATTATGTAGGTGTTTCCTTAGCTGACAGTGGCCAGTCAGAAATCCTACTGTAAGGCGTAGATTTTTCCTGGTCATCGCCAGGACGCCTCTTCGCGTCTTGTACGTTTTGCCTTGTTAAAGGTCGTTCTCGCTGTCTTCCTGAGGTGTTCCAATTCAGGGCACCACCATATGTATAGTGTATACGAAGTCAATTCGAATGGCATAAAAATTCAACAGTTACCGAACGTCGGCAGTTTCTTTGTATGGCATGGGTGGCGTGATGAATTCATACGAGGTCTAATTTTCATGTGGGAGGTGGCATTACATAAAAGTTGACGTAAAACTAAGTAATGTAATCAAATATTGAATATTTACCTCACTATGCTGGGATCACACGAATGATTGAAAAGCGCCAAAGTAGGGTAGAGACCGGCGCCGATACTGGCATTTTCATATCTTGTTGATATTCCTTTGATTTCTAATGGCTTTTCCAAATTTTTCAGTTCTGATATCTCATGAGCATTGAACTGCAAAAGCTCTAAATGTCTGAGTAGCAAACTTCCAATATACACCTCTTCGTCTTTGAGAATGCTCTCGCTGGTATCGAAAGGAAAATACCTTCCAGTTTTCAACAAGCGAAGAAGAAATATTGCAATGCATGTATAGTGTACAAGTTCTTCTTTCTTACGCACATTTTCATTTCTGCACAGAAAGAACACATTATCATAGTCGTCAAAACGGTACGTTTTCTTCTTTATAATATTCTTCTTACAATTGTCTTTCAAATAGTCCTTGAGTTTGTTCCTTTTGTCATTGAAAAACGAAAAAGGCCTTTGACTTATGATTCTCAGTGCTAAAGAGCAATTCACAGAAGCCCCAGAAGTAAGGAGGGATTGCTGAACAGAACACTCTACCCTATGAAATGATTTATTTCCTAGTCTTTCGCAAATTGTGCTGCAAAATACCACGTTGGCACAAGTAGGGCATGCTATTGGTTGTTCCACCGCTGCAAAGCAATATTGACAATTCAACAAGCAATGCTTGTAATCAACAACTGCACAATGGGGGTTTTCTTCAACAATAATAGTGCCTAAGCTGATATCTTCATTTGCTATGGCGAATCTTCCTTGATAGTTATCTTGTTGAAAATTTATTTTAGGGTGGGCGGCTACATATTCTCTGCCCCCAACAAATATTTCTTCATCTAGCACCGGTACTAGTTCATGTTTGGAAGTTATTTGGAATTTTTGTTTTCGAGCTCTCTCAATTTCCTCAATTTTATTTTTGATAGACTCTTCATCCAACTTACTGTTTTTGAGACTACTTATTGCTTTGTTATACGCCTCTGACGACAGTCTCTCATTTTGAAGAGCATCGTAACATCTAGCCTTTCTGAGCCATATTTTATATTGCAAATGTGAAGGGTAATCGCCTACTTCTAGAAGATAATCAATATCGTTGAATACCTTCTTATATTCTTTCAGCTCGAAAAATGCAGCGCTTCGATTCGAAATGAGTATAGTCAGAAGTTCTCTGGACTGCACTGAAAGACAATAGAAATCATTAATAAAATATGAAACCAGTTTGTATACATATACATTATTGTTCCTCCTTTCAAATTATATTCTTAAATATAGAATGCATACCCAATTGTCTGAGGTGCGACAGCACCATGCTGAGGGATGCCTAAACGTCAACGAAACCTCCTGGATACCAGGCGATTTTCCAGAGCCCTTGCCAAAAGCATCATGGATGTCGACAAATCCTTTTTGCATACTCATGACAATGCAGTAAGGAGACCTCGAAGGTCCTCACGAAGGTTGTGTGGAAATTTGATATTGTTCCCACTTGGGAATCACAGGAGGAAAAGCATAGGATAAGGACAGATCCAGATAGAGTGAAGAAAGTTCAAGAGCTGTTGGGATGGTCAGAAAAAGCCACCCACCAGGGATGTGGATGAGCTAGTTGATTATCATACTATTGAATATTTCAATGGTTTCATTGAAAACCATATAAATAAGGAAGTGATAGACTTATATTGACTAAGACATTCATATCAGAAATAGAATGTGGCTGATAAAGAAGATTGTTTGACTTATTGATATATAAACTATATTACGTCTTATCAGCCCCCAAAAATCAAACAGAGAAGCCTATAAGGCAGACCTACAATTAGCTAGAAATCAACCACGGTTCCATGGTACATGGGATCAATTCAAAAGGTCCCTGAATAGATACAACGGAGCTATGGAAGAGATTCATAGAGAGGGCAATACAAGGAGATGAAACAAATACACTCTCCAATTTTCTGGATTCTACTCTCGAAGAAAGTTCATGCTTCAATCAATAGTGTAATAGCAAATACCAAAATGAAAGGAAATACTGCAAAACAGTTTCTCCAGGTTTACTTCCTCAGGTCAGAAATCACATTTGTAAAATCGAAGTCTTGGATAAATTCAGAGTTGAAGGTCCTCAAGTCATTTAGACAGAATTGGTAGGTGGCAAAGAAAGTATTGGATATCTGGAAGATTCAATAGACCGTTAACGCACTCGATACAAGTTGCCGGAACAAGAAGACATTCATCGAGAAATGCTGCGATAGGTGTTCAAACTTCTAGATGGAATATGCTTACAAAAACAAGGAAGTAATTTCAGCTGTTTTCTTGGTTATTGTAGAGTCGAAGCGGAGAGGGATTTACTAGAACCTAGGACCTTTTGAATCATTTTTCAGTGTTTTTATTTTTTATTTATTTATTATCAAATATTTCACTTGTTGAAAGGTACAATGGAAAAAAGATGAAAAAAACAATAGGTTAATGATGTGATGCAGCGGATATGATTACTCATGAGCACATTTTTTAGGTGCTTGTTTGAAATCTCATCATAACCACTTGCACCCGACTTTTTTAGTGTTTTTATCAAATCAAATATGTCAAATTCACTAATGGGATGCATAAAAAAGGAGTTTTGGCAGATGGAAACATTATTTTCCATAAATTTAATGTCTATCTCATCATGACAGTTCAGTACATTATGTACTTGTGACACAGTACAATGAGTAAGTATTATTAACCACAATACCTACTTCCCGGATTACAAAAAATTATTTTTGTCTTCAAGATTTTCAATTGCACATATAATAAAATAAATAATAAGATGAGGTTCACAATCTCATTTCATAACCGTTATAGTAAATATTCCACCTTAATCACTATCCTTCTTGTTTACTCTTTATTATCTTGGAATACTACTTTCTTTAGGTACATTCTAGCTGATTATTCTACTAATTCGTGGCGTGTTCAGATAAAACATTTTGTTAACCTGATTCGTTACTGTGTCTTGTGAAAGTTCACGACGGGTCAAAAAATATATTTTTCCATAAGAATCTCAAAAGATTCCACTCAAGTTATTAATAATAGAGGCAACAAACGTGCTGGACATGAGAACAGATATATATGATTGGTTATTAGGAAATTAAAATACTTCTCCAATGAATGAAACTATTAGTAACAAGTTCACGACTAGTTTGATATTTGAAGCTGTTAGTTTAGAGACTAGATAATTATCATAGTTTTTCCATACAGAAAGGAAAACTAAAAAATAAAATAATCTCATATTGTCAGCAGTTACATCACTTTTGTATTGACTGGGACATTCTGAAAAATGGTTAATGTAGTGTGACAATTTTGAAAATTTCATCACCCTCAGGAGTGTTACCCAACTTTCTCCTAAATTCTTTGAAAAATGAGTATTCTACTATAGGTGTTGTGGAATAGCTAATTTCACTCTAAATTTGTACTCAACTCTGATTGACATCATTCATGCTGTAATCAGAGTTGCTCACTTAGATACACTGAACATTCCTTTCACGTACATGACGAAGTGCACCAGACCAAGAGCTTAACCTTGTGGCATTCCTTCTATTGTCACAAAGTTTGACACCTTATTCAGTAAGTACAACATAGGTTTATGCTTCCCAAACAATTATTTGAATGTCAGTATTCAATACTAGATATGTTATTAATAGTGTCAGAAACATGTGAGGAATTATGAAATGAAGTATATCAAATTTTTCATACTCACCCGAACTCTGTGGACAACTCACAATGCCTGCATTATACCTCTTCAAAGCATTGGGATAATCCTTCTTGGAAAAATATGAATTGCCACTGGTTTTTTCTTGTTGAGCCACCTCAAAACTTTTTCCATTGAACTCCGTCAGAGTGATAGGAATTTTAACTGCGGTATCATACAGCAATTTTACCCTGGATTCCTCATCCTTTGTTTCTTCAAATGCCTCAATGCATTCTGTTGATAGTTGTCCTATAACTTCCTCACAGTACTTTTGGAATAAACTACAACCTTTGTCATCGTTGTAAACGTTCATCTTGAAAGAACTTATTTGTGTTATTTTTATATGCCGCCCCGTCCAGTTAGGTTATTTTCAGACCACGTTGAAAATGTATTTTTAGCATCATGTAGTCAATCGACAGCGACAATTCTGCAAAACACTTCATTATCAGGTAATCTGAATGTTTTCCCCTTTCACATATTTTGATTTCATTCCATATGTCATTTTTTCTTGATTTACTTTGAATGAAGTGTAATGTTTATGAGTGAACTTCAGCATGTGTAGACTTTGATGAATATCTAGTTGATAATGCGACAAAATGAAAATTTGATAACCGATTACTGGTCTAGTTCAGAAGATAAAATTTGTGTTCAACAGTGATTGAGCTCCTGAAATACGGGTTCAGAATAACGCGTAGAAAAATATATACCAATGATTTTAACTTTTGCATCACGATAATGCAGCTACTCGTCATTGCTTGTCCATAATTTTTTGGCCAATAACAACACCGAAATCATGCCTTAGTCACCATACTCACCAGATTTGGCACCTCTGTTCCCAAGATTGAAGAGATCATAAAAGGACGGTGTTTTGCGATGATTGAGGAGACAAAAACCGAATCGCTGAGGGAATTCAAGGACATACCAAAAAGCGCATATCAGAATATAAAAGGAATTAAAATCTTGTGGTAACCGAAATTCGATGAAATACACTCAAAACTTATTGCGATTTACTCAAAACTCATTTCATGTTGAGGTATTGATAATAAGAAATTAAGCTAAAACCATATCAATATTCTTTTAAGATGGTATCCTTTAAAAATCTGTAAATAATTTCCCTGGCAACGTTAGTTTCAAAAACGCCTTGTCAACTTGTTTTGTATGTTACAAAATTAGTTGTCAGTATTTCAATTTGAGTTTAAAGTTCGTTAACTTCAAGTCTGACAAATGGTTAGATTAACGGAAATGCATAAAATAGCAGTTGATTAGTTACGGAGATAACACAACAGGAAGTAGCTGGCCTATTTCATGAGAAATTTCCTAATTCACCGCCCATATCTCAAGGAATAATAAGCAAAATAGAGAAGCAGTTTCGCGAGCTTAGTCATGTGTGGCAGATAAAAAAATCATCCGCCAATGCAATGAGTGATGAACTGAAATTAGATGTGATGCCTGAGTTTGAGGAAAACTCGCGTACATCGAGTAGACAGGCATTCACTACATTCAATGTTAGCCAGTCCAATCATTATAGTAAGTTCAACTCGGAATTCGAGATACCCAGCTGTTAGTCTGTAAATACTTGTATATTGACACCCTAAAAGTTGTCTTAAAACCTACAACAAAGAATCCGAATACACTGTCAGTACCTAAGAAAACTATCAATTAAAATTTTTGAAACTAATGATTAAAATATTTATTAAATATTTGCTCAGATAATAATTTTAACGTTGATAAGGTATACCGCGCAACAAATGAGTCTCGATGTCAGTTTTAACAATGTAGTTCCTCAATCAAGTCCTATTTCAAATGGGAGAAAATGGAAAATTTGTTCAAGTCATTTTTCACCGCTGCATTTTCCAAATTGGGTAAGAAGTGATGTTGATAGCACAGCTTAAGTAAGTAAGCTGTGTTGATAGTCTCAATTGTGATTGACCAAGCAAAGTTGGATTTAGAAAAGTGTTATAACCAGGACAGATGAAGACATGAAGGGTGCCTAATCGTAATTATTCTATCGAGGGCTAATAATTTGAACCACAAAGGGCTCAATTAAATATTTGCTGCTCGACTCAAGTTTAACTTTGGAATCACTGTTTTTTAAACAAAAAAACTGTGTTTGTGACTTTTGTACCAATGGCCAAAGGTTAGAGTTCCCTATTGAACTATTAAAAAGTTTATATGACGAGTGACATTTTGGCATCCTAAGAAGAGAGTGATCGCTTGTTTTATTGACATGTATGTCTCTTCGCAACGTTGCCAGCCCTCTGCTTATTATATTTTTCACGGATATGTAGCAACAAACGAGTGTCATAATTCTGAAATTTTCAAAAATAGATATGCAGATTCTAACACATCTTTTCTGGATGATATCCATGGACTAGTCAAAAACCAAGGTAAAAGTTTGAATTTCCCGGGCTACGTTCATTTGTTTAGCAGTTTTTTCATTTGTTTTATGTTGGTACACTCGTCTCGATCATATGTTCACAGTTTCAGCTGTTTAATATGTTTAGTTTTAGTTTGTTGGTGAGAGGCATAAAAGTTAGAAGTGTTTTGCCTGTTCGGCGATTTTCTGGTATCAAGGAAAATCGATCTAAGAGTTTGCATCAAATGTTGTTAAAAAATGGAATTGAGTGCTCAAAACACTTGAAATAGTGGCATACGGTGATTGTTCGGTAATTAAGGAGTAGGTATTACTTTGAAGTTACGCGCTGCTACACTGTAATCATGCCTCAGCCACCGTTTTCACCAGATTTGGCACCCTGTTCCCAACATTGAAGAGACCCATGACGGGTCGGCGTTTCGCGACGATTGTGGGGATAAAAACCAAATGGCCGAGAGAGCTCAAGGACATACCAAAAAGTGCATATTACAACTGATCTGAGGATTGAAAAAACGCTGGCACATATGTATTTTATCTGATGGGGACTACTTTGAAGGGGACCAAATAGAAGTTGATAACAAAAATGATATTTTTTGAGCAAAATGGAAATTCACCTTATTGTTAGAACAGACAATCCTAACGCGGAGTGACCCCCCATATCAATTTGCAGTAAACCATTATACTGTGGAATAATCGAAAATAAGCAGTATACAGCGTCTGCCATGAGAGTTTTCTGGATGTCTCATAAGTTATATGTTTGAGAGATTTGTGTATATAGTATCAAAATTTAAAGAGGAAACACGACCAAGCAGCCAAGCACTTTGATAGATTTCTGATCCTGGGATTTTTTTCCTATCTGAAATCTGAAAATAACCGTAAATGAAATTTTTTTCTGGTTCTGTTTGCCTGCTGAAAATATCCAGTAAGCTTATGCACTAAATGCCAGTGAAGTACATATCAAAACAATGAATCATTATAAATGTTAATAAACTACTAATAAACGTGCCAAAATAATCTGCATCATGATAATGTACTGTTGTATTATCTCCAATGAACAGTTCAATAACTATTGCATACGTAATCCTTTCTGAAACCTACACTCATTCAACTAAACTGATATTATGTTTTATTGATTTTGAGATAACTCTGAAATTGAAAAAATAGAGTAGTCAATCCAGGATCCAGTTCCCTGTACTGGTTTGTACAGATCTTTGTATGGATTATGTCATATTCTCTTGAGCATAATTTCGATTGTCTTCAAATTGCTTGCCTTCAGGGCATCATTTTCACATAGAACATGACATATCGTATCTGCCCGTTGTTGCTTCGCCTGCAACTGAGGAACAGTTACAGCCCCAATTATTTCAGGTGTTCTCTATATGAACAATGTACAGTAAGTAACCCTGTGATTATTGAAGGGTAATTTCTGCTCTTTTGATGCAGTACTTCACTGGATAGGTGGATAGATATATAATAATTACAAGTTTCAACATCTTTTTCTTGAATTGTTTCACAGTTTCAGAGTATTTCATTGAAGCAATCGATAACATATGGAATCAGACAATCCCCATCTATGATTATTTACATCATTAACATTTCTCGTGGTATGATTGTGGAACTATTACAGTTTACTGTAATATTTTCATTATTAAACTTCTCTTTCAGAAGTGATAGTTTTGACTTGATGCTTTCATAGTTTTTGTAAGTTTCTTTATCGGTGAAATTGAAGAACATAAATTTTATCTTGATGAGGAAATCTGTTACAATCGAGATAAAACTGTCTCATTTTTTTATTTCACATCGATCATCTTACAGGCAAGTTTCATTCGGAATAGGGTGATTCCATGTTCCATGTCAAATAGACCAATGGTTGGAATCGACCCCTTTTGATTTGAATAAAAATTGGTAATTAAGTTTTCAATATTTTTTTTACTTCAATGTAGAAGTAGAAAAACAATACTATTTCCCAAAATCTCGTAAAAATGATAAAAAGCAATGCTTATACCTAGTAGGTGGCTTAAAATAATGGTTTAGGTTATAAAGGCGGTGAAGGATATTGTTTATGTGAGATTATTTACTCTTTTAAGTGTGTTCCTGAGAATAAATAATGAACATCTGTATAACTGATCAAAACCATACCAGTAAATTTATGCTAAAACAGCATTGTGTATTGTGTGTTGCCTATCACTGGTCATGTCATTTGCCTGTTGCAATTATGTTGTTTGCAGCGTTGTCAGACTTTCGTATATTATAGTTTTATAACTTTATTTTGAATTGGATGCAAAATTGGCGATTTTTTCAATTACTCACCATTCAAAACCAGACTAAAAGCTAATATGGTACAATCCTCTCGGTTGAAAATATTCCTTTATTATTTCATTTCTTGAGCCAGAAGTAACTACTTTTGGTTTGAATTTCGACACTTCTCATCACGTTTTCATAATGAATCTTTCAAATGTGTTCATGAAAGAATCTTAATTGAAATAATTCAACATCACTTACATGTTTGATAAAGGAAAGGACATATAAGAAAAATCTTCTATAGATTATTTCATGTAGGATATGGAGTCTAACTCCCCAAATGTTCTTACCAACCGAACTTCATCTCTGTGGAAGTTCCTAACTTCCAACAAATATTCATAGAAAACTAGATGAAATGAAAATCGCCATTTTTGCAGCAGCACAGCACGGTTTTGTGAATTTTTCAAAATGTTCAGCAAAGATAATCAAAAAAACAAAGGCACAAAACTGAGAGACATTTGATCGATAAATCAAAAAGGCAATATTTTGTCGTTCAGTCAATTTGCAGACCAATTTCCAACCACTTCTCAGAAAAAATATCATAATCGAAAATACCAATCTCAAATTGAAATGTAACCTTCATAAAAATGATATGCCTCAAAGCAATAACAGAAAGTGTTTTATGAATTTTTCAGTATTGAGAATTGCATAACAATATTTTCATTAGTTAAGGAAAATGTGATATTGAAGAAAATAATCTCCCCAAAAAAACTATCGGGAAATAAATACATTCAGTAGTGCATTCACTCATTGGACTTTTGTCTATTCGTAACATGATAATATTGGTTGACTATAAATGTGTATCAAACATCGCTAAATAAACTCATCAAGCTTCAAAAAGTATAATTACACTTGAATACCGATAAAAAAAAAAGTAGTTTTGTTATCATCAAATACAATAATGGTCGAGCTACATCATAACTAACCTTGCAAATATGGTGATCTGGCAATGTTGACTGAGTTCGAAAGAGGGAGGGCTGGTCTTTGACGTTTGAAAGAATTGTTCAAATTTTTCAATAATATACACAATGTGTACGTGTACACTGTACAATTATTCTATTAGTTTTCCAGGCTCTGTTGATTATTTTTAATGAAAATGACAAAAACCTGTTATCCCTGCAAGTTGTTCCTAACATGTTGATAATGTTTTTTTCACTTAGAATTTGCAATGGAGAACAACAAAACTAGTGGACTTCTGAAACACAGAAAGAAGCGCCCCAAGTCCAATAGAATGTTAGGAGAAGAATACGATATAGTGAGTGAGTCTCAAAATTGTCGAAACATTAAGTCTTACAGGGTATTTAATTTTCAGGAGGAAAATAACGATCTTTCAGACACCTGCGTTCTATTAAATCAAGGAGAAAATTCCCTCAAGACTGAAGTAGTTGAACGTCGAGAATCGCTATGGGCAACTGCAATACAAATGTTCATCCCGTTTCTCTTAGCGGGATTTGGAATGGTAGCTGCGAGTCTATTACTCGACGAAGTTCAACACTGGCCAGTATACCAAAATGTAACCGAAGTTTTTATATTAGTACCTGCTCTCTTAGGACTGAAAGGAAATTTAGAAATGACCCTCGCCTCTAGGTTGTCAACTCACGCCAATTTGGGTCATCTAGATAGCAGAAACCAAAAAATCAATTTGATAACAGGAAACCTTGCCTTAATATTGTGCCAAGCGATCGTAGTAGGATTTTTAGCTTCATTAGCAGCAGTTATATTTGGATGGGTACCCACTGGGCAGATAAATGTAAAGCATGCATTGTTACTATGTGCAAGCAGTATAGTCACTGCCTTCGGGGCTAGTTTCATCCTGGGTTTGATAATGGTGGGTGTTATCATATTTTCTCGATACATCCACATAAACCCTGATAACGTAGCTACTCCCATTGCGGCAAGTTTGGGAGATCTCACAACTCTTGCATGTTTATCGTGGCTGTCATCTATTTTGTATAATACCATGGAAAGCTATCCTTACTTAACATCATGTTTAATAGTTTTGGGGTTATGTCTTGTCCCGGTTTGGGCATGGATAGCAAGTCGAAATGAATATACTCATAAAGTTCTTTTTAGTGGATGGAGCCCTGTCATAACTGCAATGATAATTAGCAGTATTGGAGGTCTGGTATTGGACTTTACTGTGTCTCAGTTCAAGGGTGTAGCTGTGTTTCAGCTAGTAATCAACGGAGTCGGAGGGAATCTTGTGGCAGTGCAAGCGAGCCGTATATCAACTGAACTTCACAGTATTGGTAAACCTGGTCATTTACCGGAACATATGCAGGTTTGCATAAGTCCCTGTTCTGCTTTTTGTGATAAAAAAGAAACTAGTCATGCTGGTACGGCCCAAATGCTGATGCTCATGGTCATTCCCGGACATCTCATTTTCTCATACACCATAAGCTATCTGGAAGCTGGTCACACCTCTTTTACTTTCATTTTTATGATTATATATTTGACTGCTGCACTATTGCAAGTGTTCTTGTTACTCTACATTGCCCAAGTTATGACTTTGAGCATGTGGAAACATGGAATAGACCCTGATAACTCAGCTATTCCATATTTGACTGCCTTAGGGGACTTACTGGGAACTCTGCTTCTAGGGATTGCTTTCCAGATCCTTTTCGTTATTGGAGACAGAGATAGCGATGTTGGTGATTAACATTCATCGACATCAATACTTGGCCTTATACTTTGCCATAATTGGGGGCCATGAACTTAGATTTATTGTGATCTTTGTATTGTTGCGAAGTACAAATAGAGGAGAGGAAATTTTTTGAAAATTAGGTGCTATTGTATATACATGTTTAATATCAATACAGTTTTTATAAAATTCGTTGTTACTTTATTAAATAAAGTATGTTTTTCTATGAATATTGAAGAAGGTATTAATTATTTTATCTTATTTTGTTGAGTAAGTAGATATTTTCAAAAACTTAGTCACCTAATAAGAAAATGAAAGTGATTAGAAACTCCAATAGCTTTATGTCACCTCAACTTATAAGCAGCTTCTTGGAGAAATTATTTTAACCCTAGGTTAACGTGCCAAGAGGTCAGGGTTCAATCTCGGGCCAAGTCATATCCCAACAGTTTTTTCACTTTTCAAACTATTTGAAATTGAATAAAATGCCTTTTATGGGATACTTTTTGCTATGGAATTTCAATGGTATTACTCTGATTGTAGATATCCACCACAAATAAATCTTATTTCAAAATATTCATGTTATTATTAGCCAGAGAAAATGTATAGTTTCCTATTTGAGAAAAAGGGGCCATTACTCGATCAAATGATTAATGATGCTCGCGTTGACAAATTTTGTTCTCACGAGTAATGGCTACATTTCTCACTCGTTGAATAATATACCATTTTATGCCTGTAGTATCTGTTTTATTATATGAAACTTTGCTGAACATCAATATTTAATATATTCAAATATTTCATCATAGATATATAGTTAGATTTTAGTATTATTAAATATGGATGATTGTGCATGTCTGCCTACACTGTCTTTGGGTGTATTTATTAGCCAGATGACAGAGTCCCAAAGTGTTGCACTCACAATCCAGTGCCACCTCTGTTTCAATCTTTCATAGATCTAATTAATGGTACCTGGCTGTATCATGGATACAATGTTTGAACTTGGATGTCTTTAGCATTCTTCATCAAAAAGGAAATGTGCAAGCTAAGCTTGCAACAAATTATCTTTGCTAAATAAGAAATCAAGTCCTGTCTCTCTACAGCTTTCATTGCAAACAGAAATCAAAAATGTTTTGAATTCCTCATTGTTTTCCAATATAAGGCAGTCTGACCTTCAGGCGCTTTTCCATAGAAATCATATGTTTTCTGATAATACATAATTTATATAAAGAAATCGGCTAAATGCTCAGAATGGATTAGTCACAAGTATGATTAATGTAGTTTTCTTATCTTTACCCAGTGTTCAATCTTATCTGGTGCCCCATTTTCAGCACTGTACATGTAGGCTTGAAATGTTTCATCAAAACCTGATCATAACGTTTATTATAAATCCAAAAATAATTGATTTCAACTATGTCTGATATTTCCTTTAAATTTTAATTATTCAAAGCATGACGATAAAGTTTAACGATTTTAACAACTATTTTGAAAAAAAATTGTTCTCTCAACACCTCAAGTCTAGAAAGGAATAATATTTTTGATATCCATTTGTCATTATCACCAATGATTAAGTCTACATCATTGGTTTTATTTCAAAAATAAAATGCAACTGCTTTATTCACCCAATAGAGAAATTTGAATAAAAAGTGGTGACATCTACATGCGAGAGTCAGAAGATATGAAAAATTGCTTTGAGCGACAAAAATACAGTTAAGTGAAAAATTAAAATGATGTAATTGTGTTTGAAGATAAATAAGACTTCAAACAACGATAAAATCATAGGATGATTTGTCTTTTGCTGACGAAGTTTATGTGTAAAAGGGAAGTGTGAAGAGACATCTTACGAGCGATTGGTGAAATGTCCTATTTAAATATTGGTCTTATTAGATCTTGATCTCTTTGAAGAATTTTTCGACATTTAAAAGCAATGGGGAACAGTCATTCTTTAAATAAGTAAAAATATCAACTACAAAGCAATTATTCATTTTCTTTTGAACGATGATAGAAATAAGCTGTCGCCTCCCTGCGAACGAAATATCTCAGAAACATGGAAGTGATCAGTAGGTAATATTGTTTTTGAATTTCCTCTAGTTTTCAAACAAATATAAGACTTCTTTCATAAATTATACAATAGGTGTGCTTTTTAATGAACACTGCCAGTGACGTGGTGAAACGTTCATTGAGAAATAATGTTCACAAAATTGAAAGAATCATTGGAAAAGAGTTCTGAAATTATAAGAAAAACTACATTTGTACTTGATGGGTTGAGGTGGAAACTAAGCATAAAATATATCTAATGAAACCACTTTTTCCACACACCAAAACCAGACCACTTTTTCTGGGCGGACGTTTCGCTAAAGTACCATCATCAGGAGATATTAGGCTGTTTCAAAAGTTGTCCGTTTTTATGAGTCAACTTTAAGCTGTAATATCTCAGTGAATACTCATTCAATTCAATTGAAATAAGAGCTATTTAAATCAGTGCACTTTTGCCAACATAACACAAGTCAATTAATTCCGTCAGCATACAAATTGGGTGCTCGATATTCAATAAAGTCAACGAAAGCGTTTTTGCCTGGTACTAATTGATGCAGGTTCTGTCAGCGAGTAAGTTATCGAAGTGCTTAAAAAGATGGTATTTGTAAATGAATAAAGGTGAGGCTTCAGCAGCAGTGTTTTATGATATGTTGGAGCCCTTCGACTATATAAACCACAGTATCCGCTACAGAAGCTATGGCTTTGATAACTCAGCTTCTGAACGCTTCACATCATACCTATAAAGTCGAAAACATGTCCTGAAAATTACATCCTTTAAATTGAAACTATGTCAGGTGCTCCTCAAGGGTCGGCTTTAGGTCACATGCAGGCTCAACACCTCTGGCAATCTCACTCTCTTCACGAACGATAAAACTCCATTTTGGCATGATAAAGATCCCAATAAAAAATTAACAATGGTATAATGAAAGTCAAGAACTGACGTGATGCAAATCTGTCAACACTCAACATTAAGAAGACTAATATCATTTCTTTCAAATGTGAACTGTTCAAAGTATCATTTGGGGAAGGAAAAAAAAAATAACCAAGTTCTTTAATGTTGAGCTTACATTGATAAATACTTCAAAATTCGATATCAACATCATCAGGTTGGGTTAAAAAATTGCATCAGAGTGTTTTGCTATCAAAACAGTTGTGAATGAACTTAGATATAAATCAGCTGAAAATGTATAATATGCTTTGCGATGCGACGACTGTTTTCAATCTATATTCGTACTACACAAAAGAGCTACTCTATATTAAAAATGTTACAATCATTATTTATTTTGGAAACAGCAAGTCGCATACATGAAAACAAAAGTCAATATTGTTTAGAAAATTGTCACATCGGTTCTGCAGATAGCGTTAGTTTGCTGATACCCAAATCTAGCTTGGACAAAAGTAGATGGAAAGTTATATGATTCAAATTGTTATTATATCAAGCACAAATTATAGTAAAATTTTGTCAGAATGAAAACACAAACTGTCCAGTGAAAATATCAGAATGAAGTGTTTCTTTAATATGAAAATATTTGATATGTTAATTTATAAATAATTGGATTTTGAATTCATAATATTTGTCACTTGTTTCAGAGACACAAACTGTCATTTATATATGTAAAAATTAAGAAAAAAACTAGAGAAAGAGAGTTGGGACTTTTCTGATTCACATGCATGCCCTTTTTTGTGGAAACGTAATTCCACATTTTAAATTTTGACATGTACGTTTCATCTGTTCTTCAAGTACGGCTATTAGATTAGATGGATGAAGACAGTATGTTTTGAACATACCATTTGTTGTGGCAGAAATTGACAACATATAAATACGTAATGATCAGTATAGCAGGAGAATACGAAAGATGAAAAAAATCACAACTGAGCAAAATAATATTTAATTACGAGTGATTCACTCTAGAAACAAAAGTACAGGAACTGTACAAAAATCCAACGGTACAACTTATCACAATCATAAAATTAAGAGAAAACTACTTCTTGGCTCCTTTTCAGGCCAGTGATACCAGGCAGAGGTCCTGCTAACGATCTGAGCGGTAGCTTACGTTTCCTCCGTACCAATCACGCATTTTGCAGAACTTTTTCATCACTTTCCCCTTCTTTTTTCTGTTCTTTGGCAGGTTTACTTAAAACTTTGTCAATAAGACCGAAAGATAAAGCCTCCTGTGGAGACATAAAGTTGTCCCTCTCCAAACTGAATTCAATTTTTTCCAGTGGCTGTCCAGTGTGTTTCACATACAGCAGGTTGATTCGTTTTTTGAGTTCAAGTATTTCTTCTGCTTGAATTTTGATGTCAGTTGCTTGACCAGTAACACCTCCTGACGGTTGATGTATCATGATTCGGGAATTTGGCAATGAATTTCTCATACCTTTTGTTCCTGTGGGAAACAAAAATATGTGATATAACTAGTATTAAATCAAGAAGATATAGCATAGGAGACGAAACTGAAAATGGTTAATTTTTGGATGTTCCAAAATTTTCCTATTGCTCCCAAAATACGTCACTTAAGCGCGAAATTCTAATGTACTAATATTATTGAGTATCCAACTAGATACTGAATAATTTTTCAGAACAAAAACACTGTGCTTTCGCTAACCAAGTCATTCTGGAGACGAAAAGGACCTTTTCATCTCCATCAATGAAAGTTGTGTCTATTAAAAAAACTGATTTGATGTTTGTGTTTCATCTCTCCCAATGTACCTACGCATTAGGTACTGGTGAATGCCAATATCAAAAGAACATTTCCCCAAAAATAAAAAGACTCACGATTTAAATGAAATTAGTTTTTCTGAGCAAAAGGTTATATATTTTCCACTTACCTGCTGCTAGTAACAAAGAAGCCATACTGCATGCCTGGCCAACACACCACGTGGAAATGGGAGGCATGAGATACTGCATTGTATCATAAATTCCTAATCCAGATGTTACGACCCCTCCAGGAGAGTTAATGTACATATGAATGGGCCTAGTCGAGGACTCCGCTTGAAGAAAGAGTAACTGAGCGATGACTAGAGAACTGGTGACGTCGTTTATAGGTCCCATTAAACAAATTATCCTTTCTTTGAGAAGTCTCGAATATATGTCGAAGGATCTTTCTCCTCGTCCTGACTGTTCAATAACAATCGGGATATGGTATAATGATGGAACATTTGACGTTGTAAACTGAGCAATATTTGCTTTCGTCTTTACTGCTTTTTGAAGGTGTGTCAGGAAACTTTTGAACATTTTACTACTGGAATTTTGAGGATAATTCAAATTTAACAAACACTTTCAAATCATGAAAACTTCAGAATGATAAAATCAGTGCTAATCACAAAAGTAACAGTTCAAACCAATGACAAACATTTTTTTATGGTATCTAGAATCTATCCACAATATTCTGATTTATTATTGGTGGAGTATGGGGGTTCTTCAGGGCTCGGGACTGGGTTCGTTACTGTTCTTGATGTACATCAAAAACTTACTTGCGGCAATGCACTAAGGTGATCCTTTTCGTTTACAATACAACATTTATTGAAACAAATTTCTCTAAAATTAAATTCAAGGAGAAAATCATAGAGTCGCAGTTGATTCAACTGTAGCAGGTTATATTCAACTCTAAAACTGACCGTATTGGTTTTTCTAATGAAAATTATGAAATGAAGGTGAAGTCAAATGTGAAACTTCCTGGAGTAATGCTTGACTCATCCCTAACTTGGCAGTATAAAGTGTATCCCTACTAGAAGATTCCTACAAATAGGTAGACAAATTCCTACATCTCCTGAAGACGCCAACCTGGTTGGTGAAACACGCATCGAGAAGATTATTGCATTTCTGGTAATTGGGAGAAGTACTTGCTTTGAATAAAAGAACTGCTTGTCAAGAAAGCCTAGCATAGCATTTGATAATTCTTATCTAATGATGTGGTCTCTTCTTTGCCCGTAATGTAATAACAAATGGTAAATATTTTATAAATTATTTTCAATTTTCGATCTTTCAAATTGTGTTAAAATTAGTTGGTTGAAAAATTAATTTTGTAATCGATATGTTATACCATGCTAACTAGGCAATTGGATGCTTACTTTGAGTGCAAAGAGTCCGGACAGCGTACCAGAACAGGCCTAATATTAACTTTCTGTTGGTTTACACAAAGCCTCCCAAAATGTTCACCTGAAATTAAGACAATATATTTCTTAGCAACATTTTGATTGATGTATGTACTTACTGGGTGAAATACATAAATGTGACCAATTCCTTGACTATTTTTTCCTTTCTGTTTTATCTGTATGTTTCGAAAAAAAAATAAAATAATAGTATTTGCTCACGTTTATGCATTCTACCCATTATTCCTCAAAGAACATAGTATATAACAGTTATTTTCAACAGGAGCAAATTATTGGTGCTAAGGAAACCTCACAGCAACTTCTAATGGATTTGAAAAAGTTTTGTACCGAACTTATCGAAAATGTGGGTATTTTATGAAACATATCAAATGTATTAACGAATATTATAAGGAGCATTTAGAGATTTTTATTTTGCCGGATACTCGGAATACTTGCCACCTCCTACATAACCTTAAAACATAAATGAGTTTCTTACTAAGCAAATGTTTAGTATATCAGCAACAATTTCGAATACCTAGTACTCGACCAGCACACATTATCTGTTTATAGTTTAATAAATTTATTACTACTTAAAACAAAACTACATAAATTGGAACAAGTTACTTGACAAATCAACAACATTGAGGCATTTTTTCGTTTTTCGATAAGTTGATTGATTCTGACCGCTGACGACTATGTCTGGTTGGGTCGGGTAGTATTTGGCAGGGATCTAACGTCACAAAAGTAAAACACTTTCGAATTATGTGAAGAGCGATAATTGCTCTGTGGGTAAAGAATATACGAACATTGATTTTCAAGTGATATGGTAGGAGAGTAAATAGATAGCTGTGGATTTATATAGGTGTTGCCATCATTGAAGTACTCTAAGTACTCCGAGTTATTGGTAGTCAGATATCCTTAATTTTTGAAAGAGACAAATGAAAACCGTCAGCCACACTTCATTACAAACGCTACGCTGTAACTCTTCATTTTATCAATAAAGTAAACATGAAAAGAAGTGGGTTAGCAATCGGTTTCAGTCCAATCTACTTTTGTCACATTTCAATGTATTTTGAGGGTGCTTGACATCCAGGAGAAATGGTAACAATTTCAAGTCGATAGCATTTACCGTTATCGAGATGTGTGATAGTCGCAACACAGTCTGAACCACGCCTGTTATTAAAGCGAAGCATTCGAGCTGGTCTAGTGATCCAATGATTTATTTCCAAAAAGGTTGATTGGCTGACAGGATCAATTATTCCTAGAGAAACAATTGTTTTTTTTTTCTTAAAAAAGTTTTTATTATATACCTACTTCCTACAAACTTCATGAATGTTGTTTAATGTTATAATTAAATTAATTATGACATAAAAAACGGCCATAACGTTTGTAGGAGGAATATTATGAAAACTCATTGTTACAGTGCCCTGAAGAATTTATGCAACGGCAAATGGAATGAGAATTCCTTTTGCGAAGAAGTAATAATGAGTAAAATAGTAACCAATAATAGTAACCCGTGGTATTTCAACTTTGAAAGTTCAAGAACGAGTAGTTGAGGCTACAGAGGGGTTTGGGTGCGAACTATACGAAAAATCAAATCAGAGATGAAAAAAATAGCAGGGTAGCAGGGATGAGTCTTTGCGAAAAATAATTAAAAAATTTGGATTTTGATGAAGAAAGGTGGAAAATAACAAGAAAATATTGATGGAACGCCAGCCTATTCGACTACTCAGAATAGAATTCTTGATGAACCTATGCGGACCTATAGAGGAGAATATCGACCTATTATTCATATGGATGAAACATATATTCACACTACACAAACGCACCAAAAAATTTGAAGTGATAATACCATGGAAGGGCTGAAAAACCTGTTAGTGAAGGGAAATGTCTGATCATAATATCTACATGCAGGTGGAGAGAATGAGTTTGTGCCTAATGTTCACATTAGATGGAAATCAAATTGTTATACAGGTGATTATCACAACGAGATGAATTTTGATTATTACAAGAAATGTGCGCGGGAACAGTAGATTCCAAATTTGTCGTTAAGAAGCGATATTCAGTCATGCTTGTCAGGGAAGAATATTCAATTTGGAAAATACACACTGAAACCTGACTCATATACTCTCATTAACAACTATAAGCCAAAATTCAAGTGGTATGAAGTAGATCAGTTCTTTCTTGCAGCAAATCACATCGTTGTACAATTACCGCCATATCACTCATATTTGAATCCAATTGAGTTGTACTGAAAGATAACATGGCAAATGTTAGGTAGGTACGTTTAATTTCAACGATGTCGTGCAATATTGCGATGATTTTTTTGAACAGTTTTTTTCCGTAGATTATCTACCCGCTACGTTTTATAATCATTTCTATCAATTATCCATTGTGAGTTTATCTTATTTTCACTCAATTCATGAATCTATAATGAGAATGTACGTAGCTATAATTTGTAATTATATATCACTCATTACATTTCAATTATTTTCCGCATGCACAAAATCAAGAACGGGTTCCCGTTCCCTACTGGTTCTTTTTCGTTGTTTTATCAAAATGGATGTTCTGTTCGGGCAACGTACCGCGCGCTTCGCCCATTTTACGGTTGCCATAACCGTCCTACCGAGAAGACTATTCGCAATGTGGTGGATAAATTTGAGTCCACTGGTTCAGCAAACTATCGACCAACACTGGTACGTCGACAAAACTCAAGATCTGCCTAAAACAACGCCGCTGCCTGTGAGAGTGTGCAGGAGAATTCGAGGCTGTCTATTTCGCGTCGCTCACAAGAACTCGACACCACAAATTAGCAAATTTTGAGTCGTGGGTCATGTCCGATGTTTTATATAGGTCAAACTGGAAGAACGTTCAAAGCCCGCATAAAGGAACACAAATATAGTTTTCAGAATGGAAAAATAAATTCCACATATGCCAGTCATTTAATCTCAGAGAAAATTCAAACTTTATTGATGAGTTTTCTGAATAAAACCTAATTGACGGTAATCGGTTAATTTATAAAAGCATTTCTGCTGAATTGAAAAGAGTATAGAAACAAAGATTCTGGCTCTCGACTTCTCCATCTCTATACAAAAAATGTGGGAATATTCTGCTCATTCAATGAAAGTTTCGAAAATACCCACTAAGAATGAAACTCATTTTCACTTAAAAGCACAAAACAGTGACCAAGTTGTTCGGTGAGGTACCAGAATGTGATAATTCCACCGTTGACCTAGCCCATAGAGCAAGTGACCTGCTCACCTAATTTCATTGTGGAAATTGTGTTTCGTTGGATTTCCGCTGGAGAGTTAATCCAAAAGTCTCCGACGATTGGCTTAAGTGGTGGAATTAGCAGTTCTGCATATGTTTTCAAACTAGATGAAAATTTATATAATGAGGCCATAAACATTGCAATCACGTTGTATAGAATTTGCGGAAGCAAAGATGCGGGAAGATCACTGAATTTGGACACCAATGAGAACCGGAGTGCCAAGGCTTTTGCTCGAAGCAAATTCACGGGCCATTTTTACGCATTTAAACGGTACTGAGGGCGTAATAGTATAATGACCATAATAACTTGTGGCTATTGCCGAACAATTGCGCATAAGGCAGTTTGAAGTTAGGCATATCATTGAAAAGGTGTTATATTTCCTTTTGGGCTTTCTGCGTCCTTCCAACTCAAAAACTTCCATTTTCACAAACTTTCATTTGTACGTCCTAGTGTGTGAGTCCAAGATTTAAATGTATAGTCACAGGAGACACGTTTGAAAATGATTCTGTACTCGATAGTATCACAAGCTGGAACTAAAAAATCTGCAGATGACAACAAGGTGAGTCAAAATATTTTAAACTTAGTTCTGATGCTTCCGACGATATCGTTCTGGATTTATTGCTACTTACCTGGGACCTCAGCCGATCGCCTGATCATAATCAAGCAGTGAGACCCAACTATAATAAAACGTGTGAAATAAGCCGGGATATTTCGCCAAAAACCATCAAACGTGTGCACATTATTGATAACGAACACTGTAGTCGTTGACAGTCAACGCCACAACCTGCAACAAAAATTACGCTAATGTTCACAGGGTGAGTCAAAATACAGAGGAACTTTACTGTTGCTTTCAATATATTTCTGGGGAACGGTCCCGACTTAGTACATAACCACAAAAAAACAACCCCCCTTAGGCAAAGTTTTCCAGAAATAATTTTTTGTTTTCAATTCCTCCAAATATAAACAAATTCGTTCCATTTTAACCGGAACGAAATGAATAGGCTTGACCTTGGTGGGTTTTCTGCTGAGATATTTGGTTACCTAATCAAAATGACCGGCACATTTCCCATAACATCCAGGAAATTCGAAATTATTCTTAATGATGTTAGCCTAGGGTAAAGACTCCTGAAATGTGTCTAGTAAATTAGCAATGTAATGTGCTCATAAAGCTTCGTCGTTATTATATAAATGATGAAAAGTGAATAGAAAATCACAAAACGTGTACCTGCCTACTTGTGTGGTTATGAATTTGTGTGGGGTACTTTAAGAATAACCGGATGCTCTGAGTCATTTCAGTCTTCTGGAGAAAGTTTGTCCAATATAATAGTTGTAAAAAATATTACTGAATTGTTATTTTAACACCTCCATACGTGTTTCTATCACCAAGTGATCATCTTCAAGAGAAAGATTAAACTGTCTAGTTTAATCTTTAATATAGTTTAATCTTAAACTATCTAGTTTAATCTTCGTCTTGACGATGTAGTTTTGCCTTCAGAGTGTTCAATGAATTGGCTTAAATTATTATATCTACCTTCAAGTTTTTCAATGAGCGATATTTTGGTCAGGCTCGCCAAAACCTGCCAGATTCTCATTTCTTGAAGTAGAATGAAACTGGTTCATATCTAATTCGTTTTATGAAAATCTAGTCTATGAAACACGATTTTCAATAATCCCAGTAAAAGTACTAATAACCGATATCTTTCAATTCCATAACAAAAGAACGTTTTACATTATTCCATTTTAGAATATGTTATTTTATGGCTCACGGTGTCGAATGCTTCAGCTAGAATAGAGGTTCCCAAACTTTCTTTTATCATAGACCACTTTCAAAACTTTGCTGGTCCCGGTAGAACCCCTTCAGATAAGTACTAACTTTTTCCGACACTGTGGCAAACACCAACATCGATTCACTTTACTTTACTTTTTTTCGAAATTCCAGAAACGAATGAGTTACGTTTATCCTTGGCATTCGTATCAATTATTTATATTGGTGAAGAATCAAACAAGTTCACGCAAGATTGCAAGCACACACACAAGTTGTATTCGTTCCCTTAGCGCGTCTGAACAAGAGTTGCGGACGACGGCAACAGCAGCGCTCTGCAAGTCTTGACACGTACTGAATATGGAATTTAAAAGTTTTTACACGTAATAGTCGCTGAACTTCTTGAAATATTATCTACCTACATCAATAGGTGTTTTGATAATTGTTTCGAAAATTTTAATGATAAGTGAAATGGGTCTATAATTAGTCATCTCTAGTTTGTCTCACGATTTATAAAAACTGTATGGTTGTTTGCCCCATTTGTACAGGAGGTATGCGCATCTGCCATGTTGCGTTCTAATTCTGTTAAGTGTGGACCAAGTTCTGCGTGGTACGTCAAACCCTAGGGGCTTCTGAGTGATGCAGGGCATATTATTGCCTTGCTGAGTGGTCCATTCTTGGGTCCATACATTGGTCAGGTTGAACTCCTCTTGCATTGCTGCACTTCCCGGTTTAGTCGGTGGATTTCTGGAGCGAAGACGATTGTGATTAGCGTCCTCAACGTCTTGATGTATTGGCAGATTTCTATTTTCCATGATATTTTTGTACTCTCGTGTAAGAGCGTTTATCCGTCGTAGCTTTGGGGGTTGGATATTCGACCGGCATATCCGCTATATATAAACCGAAGAGAAGCGGAGCGAGCACTGATCCCTGTGGCAAGCCGTTGTTAAGTTTCTTTGGTGCCCATTATGACCTGAAACGTCCAATCACCAAGCATGTTCGATATCGATTGGTTTATTCGCTTGCAGGGAATTTTCTTAAAAGCTTGCAGAGCATTTCCTCCTCACATATGGTATCACAGACTGCCGAAAGGTCAATGAATGCAGGTGAGGTTTTAAGTTTTCGTTGGAATCTCGCTTCGGTATAGGTGGTAAGTAACAGGACCTGGTCTGCACAGCATCGTTTTGGCCGAAAGCCCGCCTGTTCAACTGGTATTGCCTCCAGAATCACTGAGCTGAGTCTATTGTGGACAAATCTCTCCAGTAGTTTATAGAGTACGGACAGTAGAGCCATTGGCCTCTAGCTTTTTGGGCTGCCAGAATGCATAATGTCCGTGAAGAATTCAACCAACCAGCATTTGGTGTACTTGCCACAATTGATTAGGAACTCGAGGTGGATGTTGAGGAATCCTGGGGCCTTTTCCGCCTGATATCGTTTATGGCCTTTGGATGGAAAAGGGGCGAGAGTGGTCCGTTTCGGCTTTCAAGGCTTTAAATTCTTTCTTTATCTGTTTGGAGTGTGCTCTGCCTTCAGTGTTCTGGATGTAGCTATTATGTGTGAGGCTACTTTATTTGGTCCTCAACTTCCTCAGCAATGACCATGCCTGCATGCTCGATGTTTGAAAGTTGAGGCTTTCGACAGTTTCAATCCACTTTTGTTGGCATCCATCCAAAAACATATTCTTTGCGGTACCCTCTGGGTATGTGCTTTCTAGAGGAGCTCATTACTGCGCCAATGAATCTTCCGTAGTTACCGGTGGTGGGCGGTATCCACCCTAGGCACTAATCAGGGTTAGAGGAAAACCTGGGCCAGTCAGCCAGTCTAAATGTAAACCGATCCTTAGCTTAGACGAGGTGCCATGAACAACGGCACCTCTTCTTCGGCCCACTTTGCTAATGCTTTCCCGTTTGCATTGATTTGTCTGTATTTCCACTGCTCGTGGTGGCTGTTTTAGTCTCCAACGTATACCGCGGGGTGGGGGTGCGTTTCAACAACTTGGGCCGGCCATGGAACAGCAGGCGGTTTATATGTATTGATAACAGAGCTGTTCTCGATTCTAGTAGTGACGTTGTGAACATCGTTATCAGTGGAAGTGGAGATTAGGGAACCATTCTCAATATCCTGTTTAACATATGTAGCGACGCCGTACGTGCGGTGGTACGTTGGTCCCAACAGCTCATATCCCGGAATTTCACCCCTTTTCTGAAGTTGTTCTGGACTATCACAGTGTGTTTCCTTTATGGCAACCAGGTCAATGTTAACATTCTTGAGGATTTTAGATGAGTACTGGCTTTTAGCATAGCTTATGTTCTCTAAATTGATCTGGCAAATTCGGACAGAAGGTCCGAGCTTTCTAGTCATCGGGTTCTGAGAAGAACCATTTGACTTATGTGTTCTAATATCCATTTTCATGTGAGTGAGTGGGTGTCTTGAGACCAGGACATCCTAGGATTGTCTGACTGTCAGTATGTGCTAGTTTATTCAGCGTTACTAATGGTGCACCACGAGGAAGCGAACTAGCTCTACACCCCTTCTTTCCCAAAACATCTTTAGCTTTTGTCAATATTTCTACTGAAAGGTCATCAATGTCAGGTGGTTTATTATTTTCGAAGATTTGAATTATGCTTTTTATTTCGTTTTCATCTATGGGTAATAACACTATAGACACTGGAAACAAAAACAAAACAAAGGCAGAAATTAGCCAATCAATTAAAATCTGTTCACAATCTTTTCAAAAGTTTCCAAAGAATAATCAAAAAGTTCTAAAGAAATTCACTTATATGGTCATTCAAGTCATTAACAAACAGGTTGAAAAGTAATGGTCCTAAATGAGATCTCTGTGGTACATCAGATGGAACTGCGATTGAGGAAGATACTGAGTTACCATATTTTACTCTGCTGGCAAGATAATTTTCAATCTATTTCAGAATGTGTTCCTAAATACCCAAAGAGTCTACTTTATGCAACAACAAATTGTGATTTACTCGATCGAATGCCTTTGGAAAATCTGTGTAAACAGATTCAACCCGGTGTCCATTTTGAAATATTTCATGCAGTTTTGATAACTGAGCAGATTTGTACTGATAGATCGACCACGACTGAATCTATGTTGCTGATTATGGATTATATGTCTACAATCCCATGATAGCTTTTTTGTTATCAGATTATCTAACAATTTGGGTAATTCAGATTGATTGCAAACTGCTCGATAATTTGGATCATTGAGAATTCCGCCTTTGCATTTTCTGATGCTTCTCACCCCCATCTCCTGTTTTAAGTTACTGATTTCTTTAAGTGTATTTGGAAAATGTATGTCATCTTCACCCTCTATAAGAAAATCCTACAGCCAGCAATGTTTCTATGACAATTGTACCTTACAAACACATGACGCAAATGAACTATTACATAAACGGTACCCCATACTCCACCCCTGTAATGTTGTGCAATATCTACTCAGTGACGTCGGAACAAAAGGGATGACACCCTCAATGCATCTACCCACCTGCATATTCTGAGAAACAAGTAACAAAAGTTGATTTTTCTTGAGGATAAAGTGTTTTTGTGGCCTTTTATGCCTTGTTATGCCCTTCGATTGTCCTTCACTCGAAAATTCCAACCCTCATGTTAACCACGCAGACGTGGCCCTACCAACAACCCCGTGAGAAGAACTCCATGCAGGAACGACCAGACATAATCGATATGATCAGTCTTACACAGAATGTAGTCGGTTCATCATCTGTGAGGCTCTATCGCCTAACAATTCAGGAGAAATATTCAATTTCATTCAAATTCATTCGGCCAAACACTTTTTTGAGAAAGGTATGTGGATTTTTTTTAATTGACAACAGATATATCTCAAGAAGTAACATAAATTGATTAGTTTCAATATTCAAATTTCATATCCTATACTCAGGAAGGGCGAATTCTCATTAAACTCAACTATTTTTGAAATGTTTGAGAAATCTTTACCTCTTTCATTGCTAAAGTATGTCCTATATACAAAACTGGTGTAAAATCATATATAGAGAATCACAGACCCATATCTATTTCATGTATGTTTTCTAAAATTTATGAGATTATTTTATATAATCGCATATTTGCTTCTGTTCAATGGCAACTATCTCAACATCAACATGGATTTGTTACTAAGCGTTCTACTGTTACAAATCTAGTCATTATTACTCAATTCATTTCCGAGGCATTAGATAACAATGGCCAAGTTGATGTTATATACATGGATTTCTCTAAAGCATTTGATAAAATTGATCATGGAATCTTGCTCAATAAACTGATAAGTTTTGGATTTTCAAATACTACTTGTCAGCTGATGCAATCCTATCTGACATGTAGAAAACAATTCGTGTCCTATAACGGTTATAAATCTATAACATATATAGCTTCTTCTGGTGTGCCTCAGGGCTCCAACCTAGGTCCTCTTTTGTTTTTATTGTTTATTAATGACTTATGTGAAAGTTTAGCTTGTGAGCGGTTATGCTTCGCGAATGACTTGAAATTATTTTCTATAATTAAGAAAGTAGGTGATTGTGTAAATCTTCAATCTCAATTAGAATTTCTTGTTGCTTGGTGTAGCAATAATAAATTGAAACTCAATGTGGAGAAATGTAAAGAAGTGAGTACAGAGTGATACAGAGTATCCTCTGTGATTATCAGTGAGATATCATCTGTATGAGAAAAACCAAATCGTTCATGTACGAGAGATAAGAAGAGGTTTCAATACAGTAACCTTATGGGGTCCCTGAACAATTCACATTTGGAGTATTATGCTTGTTTCCGTGTCTAATTTTTTAACAATCAATCAGGGACATTTTCAGGTGAGATTTTCATTATTTTGTTTAGTGGGGCCTCTGTATTTTGCCAATAATTCTGAAATGTTTATATTTTTTTTCAAGGCGGGGTTGTTTCAGCGAAGTCATAATATGACAGGGTCGTTAGAGAAGGTTTTTACTTTGAAACCTATCAAAAAACATATGGGAGGTTCCATTATAAATGATCAGTTAAGGATAAACTACTATGTAAATAATTTCAGGAGGTTTAAAAATTCATACAGTTTTTTTCGTTTTATAAGTCTACTTCAAATTGTAATATCTCACTGAATTCTCATTCAATTCAATTGAAATAAGCGTCATTTGAATCAGTGCTTTTTTGCCAACGTAAAACAAGTCGATTAATTCCATCAGCATAAAAATTGGTTGCTCAGGATTCGATGAAGTCAACGAAGACAGTTTTTGTCTGGTCCTGATTGGCGAAGGTACTACCGGTGAGATAGTTATCAGAGTGCTTGAAATGATGGTAGTCCGAACTTGTCGACGCCGATCACTGATACTTTTGGTTATAGGAGTCCTTGGTGGAATGATGTTCTCACTAGGTTCGAATCTCTAGGTCTAGGTCATACCGGCTATCATTCTTGGTTTGCTAGGTTTTCTCAGGGCACACGGTTCCCGAAGCCAAAGATCCCTTACTCCACGGTGTGGGAAGAGTCATCAAAGTGTACAAAAAGTAATGAATAATTGTACGCATTCATGATCAACAAGTATTCTCAACCTATTGAAACAATCCAGTTTTAGACTTTTGCAGCCGAAACATTCAATTGAATAATTTCGGCGAGAGAAGAAATAAACTAAAGAATCTAGTGATTGAAATAATCAGCGGAAAGTTCCACTCTGGTCCCTATAACATATATCTTCATGACATCGTTTTGCTTTAGTTAATAACCAACGACAAAATGGTCATTATAATGAATGACCGGCTACCTAGATAAAGTCGCCTAAAATAAACATATACGAGGTTGAAGAATGTTAAAGGATCATGTATATGATTAGTTTCAGTAGTTAAATAAATACTCAAGTGTAGTTGTTGTATTTTGCGTTACTAGTTTTTCATAAATAAACCAATTTTGAATACAACTGTTGGTATAACTCATTACGATTGGAGAAAAACTCAGCAGGACCGTCTTCAGTACATATATGCAGATTTTGGATTGTCGGTTGCCTTCCTGTGGCGGAAACAATTCGTTGAGAACGGAAACAAAGAGAATTTGAGCTTGATCTTGAATTTTGGAGTTGTTATCTCCACATTACATGCATTGATAATAACGGGTCTATCAAGAGGGACTTCCGAAATTTGACAATTGATTACGACTACAAGTGCAAATAATAAAGTTGTTTTATCAAAATGGGTGTTCTGTTCGGGCAACGTACCGCGCGCTTCGCCCATTTACGGTAGCCATAATCGTTGTACCGAGTGAAATGCGAAATTATGTCCAACTTGTTATTTTCAGTTTCATATATATGTTAACTTCTGAAAGTTTTCTCTCACACTAACAAAGGCTAATTTGTTTACGATACATCTTCCCGAGGAAAAATATACCGTCAAATTTTCCCCTTGACGGCAAGGGATATTGTTTTCATGATATAAATAGTTGATTTATGAACGTATAAATTTATACAGTTTCTAGGTTTACACTTTATATTTTATCGTAATAATTCCAAAGCGACGAACTCTTGTCTTTCATTTTATCCGATGATGGGAGGAAACCGTAAAATCCAGTGTCGTATTTAGGTATTTGAGAATAGGATTGATGGCTGTGATTTCTTGTTCTTTTGTTCTCCGCTTAAGGGTGTAGGCGCCCTTTCATAGGGCGTTTTTGTTCAATTTGTATGAAAACTCCTCTAAGAACTACCTTATATTTTCAATGAATGCAAATAGAGTGCGAAAGACAAGATGAATATTAAGGCAGAAAGTCAATGGATCCAAAAAATCAATCAATGAATTGAATATAGGCCGGTAAAGTGAGAGAAAAAATAGATAAGTAACACAGAAAAAGTATAATTTTACACACCTTAGGGACTTTCTAATCTAGAACCAATTTCTAACAATCAATTCCTACAAAATAATTTTAAAACATTATATCAACTTCTCTGAGAGATGTCACGAAAATAACGTATTTTTTGTATATACGTTAACATTTTTGAAACCTATTTCAGGTAATTGATGAATACAAAAAAACCTCGACCTGAAATTCTCAACCAAACATGAATTTACTAGTAAACGACATCCCGAAAAGTGTTTACACGAACCACTTCTCTGAAATCCCAAAATATTCACAAAGAAAAGTACCCGATAAAAATAGTTGAACTATTTCGAAACAGAGGCTCAAAAGATGTAATTGAACAGTTAACCTAGATTCAATGTACACATCTGCGTTTGCACTTTCGCCACCATGGCGCTAGTATCTAATTTTGAATTCCCATTTTGGGAACTACACAGGTTTTCAAGAGATTAAAGAAGGCCGTGAGTGTGCTGAAGACGACTACGAGTAATTTTGGAAAAATATGAAATGCTTTGAGGAGGCTATTTGCGACCATTACAGAAAAGATGAGGAACAATAATTGTTCAATGTTGTATTTTTGAGTTATTCATTAGATGAAGAAATGTATTACAGGGTCCACTTTACCTGGCGGCTTAACAATGTTTCTCTGTTTCAGAGAAGAAAGCTATGGATCAGAAGCCATGGGCAGCATCAACCATGTTCAACGCATTCCAAAGAGCCAGGCGGAGACCCCGAGCCCATCAAGTGCCTTCGAAACAGATCCCGAAGTCGAAATGGAAATAACTTCAGTTAACCCCCAAGAAAATAGTGATAATGACAATGGAAGACTTCCAGACGTCGTGGTCGAAACAAAAATATACGAGGAGGAAGAACAAATTCACGAAACTTATTTCTCAATCGCAATACAAGTTTTTATTCCGTTTTTGATAGCTGGATTCGGGATGGTGTTTGCCGGTCTGGTTCTAGACAAAATACAGGTTTGTGTGCAATAAGTAGGATAATAGGATCGAACTGGTAGGAACATAAATACCCTTGAAGTCAATCTATTATTGAATTAAGGCATTTTATAATTGGATTTGAAAACATGATGAATTTATCGAGGACAGTCCTGTCCATTTTAAGTAACTAAATCAGAGGTTCTCAATCTTTTTGGGATGTAAATAGAAGTTCCTCAATGTTGAAACGCAAACCTCTATAATTCATTAAATGGCACTCTCTCCCACAATAATTCTAGAAAATAGACTTCTAATGAACTTTTTTTTCAGCATTGGCCAGTATTCGAGGAAATAACAGAACTAGTAATATTGATTCCAGCCCTTTTGGGTCTGAAGGGAAATTTAGAGATGACTTTAGCGTCAAGATTATCCACGCAAGCAAATTTAGGTCATATGGATACACCTAAACAAAAACTCAATATTATTGTTGGCAATTTAACTCTAATTCAGGTAAGAGATGAATCTTCCAAAATATTCAAAGCAAAAAACGACAGCAGTACCTATAATTAACGTCAGGTTGACTCATTCCTCCTAATTTTATAACTAGACCAGCTTCAAAAAATAATTGTGACATCCAAATTAAACATATCTAAACTTTTAACAGTAAACAAAGATTTTTTTTTATTTTTCAGTGTCAAGCAATTGTTGTCGGTTTCCTGGGAGCTGTAGTTGCAATTGTGATGGGGGGAATCAAAAGCAATGACGTTGAATTGGACCACGCTTATCTTTTATGTGCCAGTAGCCTAGTAACTGTTTCCATAGCAAGTTTTGTACTGGGGTTGATAACGGCTGGTGTTATAGTCTTATCTAGACACTGCCATATAAATCCAGACAACGTAGCTACTCCCATAGCTGCAAGCTTGGGGGACATCACATCCCTCACGCTGTTATCATGGGTCGCAACTATGTTATATGAGTCCATAGGTGGGTGTACAAAAACTCGATTACATTGAAATTCAATCAAACCCCTCAAAATTCCAAAACTGGTTACAGGTGGATAATCATTAAACAAATTTCAAAGTTTTTAACCTCATTCAGGACGAGAATTGATTTGAGAATCAGAAATAATTCCATAAATTTTACAATCTAATACATAAAAATGGATTTTTGTTGATTGGTTGGTTGGTAAGTGATAAACTTGTACATCGCTCAACCGATCGCGATGAAACTTGACATGCATAAGTAATTTTTCATAGAGGTTTTTAGGCTATCAATTTTTCTGTAACTCGCCACTAGATGGCGCTGTAGAACAATCTTTTGAAAGCACTGTTCTATGACGCTGCGCACGCCTAAGTTCGTTGATTCTGATTCTGTCAAAATATTGGAACAGCAGCGATACACCAACATAGTACTAGTATTATGAATGCGAAACAAGTTGGTCTCCACTCAGATGACGATCGTTTTGATTCCGGAGTGAAGTGATGGACCCATATTTCATCCATTGTCACATATCGACGCAAAAATTCCGCTTTGTTATATTCAGACATGGTCAAACACTGCTTAGAATCATCAAGACGTTCTTGTTTTTTGGTCAACAGTGAGTTCGCGTGGCACTCACTTTGAACAGAGCTTTCTCATAGTCAAATCCTCATGTAAAATAAAGCCAACACGTTCTCTTGACATCTTCACAATGTCAGATAACTCACGCAACGTCACTTTTCGATCATTCGAAACGATTTTGTGGATTATTTTATGTTTTCTGTTGTCACTGCATCATTTGGACGTCCACTACGTTCTGCATCATCAGTGTCTCTACGACCACGTTTGAAGTCAGCAAATCAACGTTAAATTGTTGTTTCTGATGGAGTATAATGAGTAGAATATCATGAAATTGCATCAGCTTTCATTTGAATGTTAGTACTAACTGAGAAAGCAGCTAATGCAATAAGACTAGCGCCATCTATTTATTAGACATTTCAGCCTATGTAGTATCAGTGAGTCCTGACTGCCTTCTGAGCGAAACAAGAATAACTATTTAATCGATTAAGACTACAAGCAATTGTAGTTGTAACTGTTTTTTTCAATTATCACTTTTGAACTACTCGATATTGAGTCATAAACTGTTGATAAACTGTATTGATGTGTTGCATCTTGAATGAAAGGGCATCACAGTTGAATATCATCCCTTCTATGTAGTCTGTACATGCTTGAATTGAAGTTCATTTTTATTTTTTCATTACTCTTATAGACATATCTTACAGGTACCCAAGACTGGTTGGCTCCAGTTATTATAGCAGGCTACATCTTGGCCATACCTCTCTGGGTTTGGATAGCAAAGAGGAATCTGCATACCCGTGATGTTCTCTACCATGGATGGACACCTGTCATGGGTGCCATGCTCATAAGTTCGATGGGGGGTTTGATTCTAGACTTCATGGTTTCACGCTTTGAGGGAATTGCTGTTTATCAACCAGTAATAAATGGAGTTGGTGGAAATTTGGTTGCAGTTCAAGCTAGCAGAATTTCAACTGCCCTCCACAAGTCAGCAGAGCTAGGCATTCTAACGTCAGAAAACAATACTGATGAAGATACTGTCATTTTCATTTCACCTGTTACTGGTTTCTGTGGAAAAGGCATGCATGCTAGAACCACCAGGGTCCTCATGTCGATGGTCATTCCCAGTCACATAATTTTCATCTACACTATTGATTATATGAAGGATTCTGGCTCCCTCAGCTCATGGTTTGTAGTAGTGTACCTGTGCGCAGCTGTCATGCAAGTGGCTACCCTTCTGTATGTTGCTTATATTATGATCCACTGGATGTGGAAAAGAAAAATTGATCCTGATAATTCTGCAATACCTTATTTGACGTCGATTGGAGACCTTTTAGGAATTTCATTGCTTGCCATTGCTTTCCAGTTCCTGTACCTAATTCGTGACCATGATCCTGGAACAACGGGTAACTGATAGAGTGGTTGCAAATTTGATTCGACACACCCCTCAGTATATTTGTTGTGATAAATTGAATCGACAATAGATGTTAGATATATCTACATAGAGATCAATTGGTTTTACGTTTCAAATCCAGGTGGAAAAATGTAGATGAAAATAATTAGGAAGTATTGTTTTAATTTCTTGGGTGTATTTTTGTTAATTAATAAAATTATATTTTATTTTTCTTTGGTATGTTTTATTTCAAACAGTAAACAATTTTCAATATTGTCATGGTAACAAAATCTGTGTAGAACATGGTACATGTGCCCAATCCTCCAATTGAATGAGTATAAATATTTAAAAAATAAAAAGCTTTTCGGCTTCCACTTCTCCATCTTTATAGAAAAAATTGTGAAAAACGTCCGAAGGAAAAAAATAATGCAGTTAAATTCGAAATAAACTCTTTACAAAGATATGTTGATCATGAACATTGAATTATTTGAAAGAATAATACTTTTGAAAAAACTACTTTCATAAAAACCGTGCTTGGAATCGCATGTTGAAAGGTAATACCTCGTTAATCCTTAGCTCGCACAAGTTTTGACTTTTGAGGGTTGTCATTCGTAAGGGGGTGACAGCGGGTTAACAGAACAACAAATTTCAAAAACAAAAAAATTATCCAATTCTCTGTTTCATGAATATGATATAAGTCACCAGAGTCCGATATGATTTCCTACGTAATAAAATCATTGCATAAAGGGGTGAAAACTGAATAAAACCTCTCTATAAAAGAAAACTACCATTTCTTCCAACCTGTTATATGATACTTTTACAGTAGGTGTATTAATAAATGATCACAGCTATTTTCGATAACTTAAAACAGCAATAAAATTTATATGAATGATATTTGAAGTGAAACTATATACTGTATCACCCAATTAAAATTTAAGACATATTAAACGACATATTTTTCTTGTCTTTCTTTCCTCATAATTTTTTAATCATGGGCAGTAATTAATCTTGATAAACCTGCTAAATCCAGTGGGCTGGTCAGAATTTTGATCAGAGTTCTAAAGGTGGATCGAGATAATTGAAAGGAATGGCATTTTTTCAAATTTTGTTTATAATTTTTTCAATGGCAAATATATGTTCCAACGACATCTATTTGACATAAACCATTCCAAAACTAAGTGAATCATGCGGTCTGGACAGATTTTGTCAAAAAATCGCTATTTATCTTTCGATTTTGTCAATGGTGAAATGTATTATTTGGACCAGTTATGTGGTAAAAATAAATAACACTACCTACTCATGATTATAATTACACTGGACTCGACAGTCCAATCAACGAAGACTGTTGTCGTCATGAAGAGCGTATTGGAAATGTAATCTATATTGTGAAGTGGAATGGAGAGTATCTCACAATTTTTGAGATATATAATTGAAAAAATTATGTAGAGCAATGAAGAGTAGATAACAAAAACAGAAAGAAAAAGACGATGACGTACAATAACGAACAAAATAATTAACACATAAATCTTTTCAAAAATCTAATATTGGTTATTGTGATTGTGGTTTTAATTTAAAAATGTTGGGTAGAAAATAGTAACACTGTTGCAGAACAATTGGTAGGTGAAAATCATAGATCGGAACATACCCTTATTGCATGTACGTCAAAAAATTAACCTTATTCTTGAATCTGTCATTTTGAATTTTATCAACAAATAATGTTCACGGTAGATTTTGGAGATGATTCAGGGTGGAAAGAGTCTTTTTTCAAGGTGAGACTGATAATTTTAGTTACTCAAACTTACTGCCTTTCATTTCAGGATGATTTTAGTGTGGATCAGTGTTTGTCAAAGTACACACAAAAATCGGATTTGGAAACCCTTCGTAGAGACTTGAAAAACTATGGGGTCGACCTACAACAACAGATGTCTGAAATACTCAAAACAGAAACAGAAGCTATAGTCAATTTGGCCGAATATTTGACAAATTTAAATTCTAAAATTGAAAACTTGTCCCTTCCTGTTTCTCAGCTGCGGGAGGAGATTATGGTGGGTATTTTCGGAAATTATCAGATTTTTCAACAATAACAGTTTTCATTAAGATACTTTGTATGTGAGCAGTTGATAATGAATAATTTTTTTAGTGAGTGAGAGACTGATTTTACCCTTCCACAACTTGACAAATTTGTCAGTTTTGCTCAATACTTTTGACTTCATTTAGTGAGTAACACTAAGCTGTGTTTTTCCTGCTACGATATATCAAAGTTTTTCAACTATATCTATACCGTTTCTCAGGATATGTAAGTTCTTCACAAGAAAGTAAATGGTATTCGGATAATGCCTTAAGATGTTTGGATATGTTGTTTATTGCGTAGATTATAACATCAAGATTCCTGATCGTACGATTCTGCTATTAATGTATTGTGTCTTAATTAATTGTTGATTATTGATTTCAAATACTGAAAATATTAAGACATACCCGAACACCAATTACGTTCATGTGAAGAACTAACGTACCTTTTTAGAATGCCACTTCATTTGTTGGCGAAATGTCAATTTTTGAAAAACACAACGGATGTTTCTGAAAAAATAATTTTTCATACTCTATCATTTGTGAAAAATTACATTGTAACATAAGTATATATTTCAGACGCTGTTTAACTTGATTGAATTGGCCGAGAGAAGTTATAAAGAGATGTTAGAAAATGTAAAAGACAACAATATAAAGAAGAATAATTTGCGTTTGAAGCTTGGGATTATTTCTTCCTCTGTATACATAGACAAAATGTTGAAATCATCTGCAGATTCTTTTGAAGATTTAATCGTATTGGAAAGAGTAGTTAACAAGTATTCTTTTCAAAGAAACTACATCAATGAATTAGGTATCGTGTCTTCAGATATTGAAATTATCACACAAAATATAGAAAACAGACTGGTTCGAATGGTAAATGAAAACTTCTTAAAATCTTTCAAAAATGAAGATTCTGACGTTCTGACAAGATGTCTCCGAATGTACGATAATTTGAGCAAACAAGAAGAGGCACTGGAGATATTCAGAACTAGCATGGTACTTCCTTATCTGGAGAAGTTATTCACAGAAAGTAATTTGGAAAGGTCAAACCAGAATCTTGATAAAATCTATGAGGAAGTTTTGTATTTTATGGATACTAAAATGAGTATTCTAGATAACATTTTGTCAGCTAATCCAGATTTAACTTCCTACAACTTCACTCTCCACAGTTTTTGGAAAGAATTTGACCTACAATCACGCCAGGGTTTGCCGCACATCACAGCACCAGGGAATCCAGAATTATTTCAGAAACGATTCAAAAGTACTTGGAACGTTTTACTCAGAATTGCAAAAAAATGTGGAAATGAAAATCTAATAACGGAAAACGAAACGTTTCAAGAACATTTAAAGAGGTTCAACTTACCTGTTTATTTTGAAATTCGTTACCAGAGAATTGCAGGAAACTTTGAGACTGATATACTTGTTGATAAAAACGAAATGAATTCCATGAAAAATGAACTGTCGTGCAAGTTCAAACCAACTGTTGCTCTTTGGGTTGCTGTCTCTGAGTGCTTTCACGAAAATAGCTACTTAGACCAACTTGCTGATCAGTTTTTGAAACTCTCCATGATGCTCTTGTCAAGATATCTGTGGTGGTTCCAAACAATATTGCAAGTGAGTATAATATTTTTTTGGCCGATTGTGGGCCATAAGTTTTTATATTTGTTTACCTCTTAACCCTTCAAAAGTGTAAATACAATGTTTGTTCAAAGGTGGTTGACAATGTTTCAAACTTCATTAGTTCGGACTTCCATTGTCTAATATGATATAACAACAGTTTCAGAAATTTCAGAATCGTTACATACACTTTTTTTCTGATATTATTGGAATGAATATAAATGTAACAGCACTTCCCCATTGTGACATTATATGTTCTATCAGTTGGACACCTACTTTCATATAAACATTAAATTACATGAAACAAGAATACTTTCGTAACAAATACTTTTATATGTTTGTACTTTTATACATGTAATAGATAAGTATCATTATATATTTCCATTTCAGAATGGTTTTGAAGATAGTAATACTCGACAAACATTTATAATGGATTCTCTAGTTGACTTGAGCATTGTGGAAACTTTTATGGCACCAAACGCACATAACTTATCAGACATTGAGAACACAGTTTTCAAAATAGTAAACCCTAAAATGATAGGACTTATCATACGAATACTCAAGTCGAATAGGAAGGCAATAGAAGCTGTACAGAGTATTTTGAGAGACCACTTAGTCAATGCAAAATATGAAGAAATTTCCATTTCGCTCCAAAATGTAGGTGCCATTCCTAGACTTTACAGAAGAACAAACAGAAGTGTACCCAAAGATGCTAGTTCATATATGATCAATGCAGTTAAACCAATAGTGCAGTTCCATAATGAATACCAAAGTATAATGCAGAATCAAGCACAGGATATTTTAGATTCCATCATTTCCCGTGTTTCTCAACAGTAAGAAACATTCATTAAGCTACGTAGAATATACTTTTGAATCTTCATTTTCTCTTTCAGGTATCTAACTTTGGTGCAAAGTGTTTTGCAATCTGTTTGCAAGACTGAAGAATCTTTGAGAAGATTGAAGAGCAGAACATTGAATGCTGGGGAAGAATCTACTCCTCACACAGACACAGTATCAGATGAAATGAAAATCAGGGAACAAATAAAGCTAGACGTGGCTTATTTCCTTGATAAGGTAAGTACATGCTCATGTTGTTCAAACAAGTTCGACATATTTATTTTTTCAGTTGTATCCCTTAGGATCAACTTCCTCCAGAGGTACAATGGACGTATTGAAGAAAGAAATAATGTGATTCACACAAAACTAGACTGTTCAAATAATTGTTAATTTTTTCATTTAATTTATTAAAAGTTTTCTGTAAAAATCGTTTTCACAAAATAATATTTTGATAACATATTTACAAGGAATAAAATTGTGTTGCTGTCGATGACTGCAACTCGATTTGTCCCATTTTGAACTGAAGCCTCTGTAACCATTTCAGTAACATGGGATTATTCAGGTTAGCTATTTTCAATTTCTCGGGTATTGCCTCGTGAAATATTGTTGGGGGGAAGTTACGACAATTCTGCAGCCTCACTTGCATGTGTCCTGGTAACTGAAAGAAAATTGGTAATTATGAATTAGCAACTGTATAGCTATTGAAATTTTGCATTTCGAGAAAGAGTTCCTTATTTCAGATAATTAATACTTTTACCTGTATTTGATTGGAACAAAGCACAGGAGTCCAAAGAGGTAGTAACTTCCCCACGAATGTAGATTGGCATTCTATAAGTGCTTCTAACATACTAAGGAAGTGAAGACTAACTATTTCACTGAGCTGAAAAGCAAAAAACCATTACCTTTTCAATAGAAATGTTTGAGAGGCTATCCTTTAACAATAACATCTCAATTTTTCAATAATTACATTATATTTCTATATAAATTCAAATCAGGCAGTATTTATATTACGGTGATAATTTATGTGTGTAGAGAAGCTTTCATCTGTTTGTAAAAATAACTTTGAAAAATATGTCTGAGAACGTTACATGTTGTGAATTTATTTGTATGAGGATATATTGATACCGAGGTAGCCTAGATAGATAAGTACCATGAGTTAACAAAATATTGCAGTACCACAGCAACAAAGAATAACCTAGAAGTTTTAGTGTAAAGTTTCATATCAAAAGGTCAACCCACTCTTGCACAATAAAATTTCATAAAAAGGATGTTGACTAAAATTGTGAAAATTGAGAACCTGGAGTATTGAGCCATCATCAATTTGATGGAGTCAAGAAGTGAAGTGAATATGCGGAAGGAAGGTATTCTGTTCTTACAGTGAAAACTTAGGTGATTTTTTTTTAAATTACTACTTTCTTACCATTTTTGATTGTTGGATCAGTTGAAGTATACTTGGTGTAACTTTTCCCCAAAAATCGAACAGGATGTTCATTGTTACATTATATGCTTCTGTAATAGGAATATTGCTATTCAGTCCTTGCTCAAGGTAGATCGTCCAGAGCTGAAAAGATTAAATATTTATGTTCGATCAATATATGTATCGAAATAGTAGAAAAGTTTCTTTGACTTGTGATTCAGCCTCCGCCCCACCAAAGGCAATATTCAATGTCGTCTACTGTTTTGACAATGTGATAATATGTCTATCATTCAAAAACTGGTATACTTTAATATTTTGAAATTTTATTTTTGATCCAGTATACAAAATTTTGATAGAAATGAAAATCTTCGGTAATCCACTTATTGAAATAATCGGTATGAAAAAGAATAATCGAATGCAAAGTAATTGGATAGTTGGTCCAATCAATTTTAGTCAAACTGCTTGCTTTCTACCTATGTTCTGGGTTGTAACGGTGGAAATATATAAGGTAAAGCACAAACCGATGAAGTATCGAGGTTTTCTCCTCGAATTCCGCAGACTTTACCCAGACCCCTCAATTGAAATAGTTGTTTTGATCATTGTTCTTGTTGGAACGATGCCCTCTCGAATCTCAAGGTGTGGTTGACTTGCCACAAATTTTGGCCAGACAAATGCAGAAGGCTCTCAGACTTGGCTCACTGCATCTGCTAAAGGCACATGATTCTCGGACACAATGATCACAGTGTGGGGAATGGTCATTTGTTAATGATGTTGACGCGCCATCCCGAATGTATCAAGGCTTCAGGGACAGGGTCCAACCAACTTATCCTTCGGTGAAAATAAATAATAATGATAATGATCTTATACACCAAAATAGGCAGTTCAAATATACAGGGTGGGGGCACTGCAAGTTTTTTCTACCACCTCAACCTCCGAATAGACATTCAATATTATCGTTATAGTTGAATAATACATAATAAAATAATAGCTTACCTGACACAAAATGAATGTGTGGAACAATGAGGACATGTGTAAGACAGACGCTTTCTGTTGCTCAGCAAAACCAACCATAATAACCTGGATGTGATCGGCTATTTGACATGAAGCTTCTTGTGGTATAGGCTGGCTGAGAATTTGTCCATGGCTGATACCCTGAAGGGCAGTGTGGGTGAGAGACCCCAAAAGTAGCCAAGAGAGTAGCCGAATATGCCCGATGCACTCTACAAACTCTCTTGGACTAAAACAAGTGATTACGTTTAGCAATATTTTTCTTGTGCAACAAGCAATCTGTTTTTCGTTAGCCAGCTGTCGCCCCTTACGTACGACCATCGGGTCCGAACCAACGTCCCACCTAGTGGTTAATTGAATGAGTAGAATGAACCACTTAAACTAATCAATAGGCTACTGAAGAAAACACTCGTATAGCATCATTTATACCTGAATAATTTCAACAGTATCTTCATTTGAAGTTATATGTTTCACACATGTTATGAGTAGTATGTTAAAAGGTAAGTCCTTAGCTCACACAAGTGTAAACTTTTGAGAGTTGTCATTCGTATAGGGACTACAGCTGCTCAACAGAAAAATCCATTTTAACTGGAGAATCCCCAGTAATTTCATGTTTCATCATGTCTAAAATACCTAAATTATTGCACCGTTCAGCTACTAGACAACTCACTTGGGAATGTAAGAACATTAATTAATTTACAACATAGTTTCATGCATGGAAAGTCATTGTTCACCAATTCACTAATAGATCAACAATTTTCTCAATGATTTGGGAAGCAGTTGACAGTTTTTTCCACAACTTTGTTAGAATCAACCGTTGCTTGCTTCTCAAGAAATTATGACATTATGTGATCTCTTGAAATTTGATTGAATGGTAAAAAGTTATCTCACTGATGAGATTCATGGAGTTGAAATAGGGAGTATCATTTAAAAAAACCTATTTCGGAGGTTCACCGGGGTTCCCACTGTGGTCCGCTATTCTTCAACTCATTCATTAATGATATCTGTTTAATTGTCGAACGTATTAAATTCCTATTGTTTGTTGAACTTTCTGTATTTTACGATTTGTGTAAAGTTAATGTGGTTGACTTAGTGTAAACGTTAAAAAGTATAATTTTTTGTACTTTTTAGACTGGTGCTGCATCACCTAGAGGGCGTTACCAACTTTCTTTTTCTAATGGAAATGGGGATTTTGTGACAACTGGTTTGATATGTATTTCAATTCTCTAACCAACACTTTTATTTTTGGAAATTGGATTAGTCGTTCCAATTCACTCCCTGACAATAATGAAGTCTATAAAGCAAAAGTTATAATGTTTCCCTAAGTAAAATCATTTTATAGAATTTTTGAAATAATCCCAATCATCAATTGCATATTAATACATATAATATGTAATTTAATTATTATTTTATATTGGTACTAGTATCTGAAGCAATACAAATTCAACCACACTTGCAGTTATTCCACAGGCACTCTTTTTTTGTGGACATTTGTTTTTAAAGCTGACCCATAAAAAGGGAATACATTAGTTACTTATGAACGAATGTTTTTTGAACTTACTTTTGTTGTGTTATTGATGTACTGCACAACCATGGAAAATACCGTGTTACTGCCCTGTTATCCCTACCATTACCTTTGGTTATTTCCAGTGCCAGATACTGAGCGACACTACATTTTATAATTCCTCCTAAAGTATCATCATTCAGTCCTACATGTATTCCTTTGCAGTAGCTCTGAAATTATAGTATATTGAAAACGTGGACAATGTGTTTTTTAAATTTATTTTTTACAAATACAGTTGCGAAGTTTTCCTGTTTCAATGTTTTGGTTTTTTTTTCTAGAATAACCAAATACACTGTGTATTCAAAAAATAAGGGAATTTTCATTTTTCTCAAAAAATATTTTATTAATTAATTTCTATTTTGTCCCCTTCAAAGTAGTCCCTCTCAGATACAATAGACTTGTGCCAGCGTGTTTTTTCATGTTTGAACTGTAGAAGAAGAAGAGTAATGTCACACATGTGGATATCACAGATAACGATTTTGAAAAAAATTGTGTATAATTACGTATACTGATGTGTAAGTGTAAATTACGAATTCGAAAGAAAAATGGGTGCCCTCCCTCATTTCCAGAGTTGTAGCACTCCAAAGTTCCGAAACTGTTTAGCCATCTTTTAGCACAATACAAACTATAGAATCACAAGTAATTATTTTCCACATCACCTTTACACCTTACTCAACCTTATTCGACACTTAAGTTTGATAATCAACAGTTTTCTTATAAAAAACTCGTTCAAAAAATCTGTTTCTGGTGATATCTCTACATTGTGAGGTTATATACTGGTGACATTTCGAAAAAAAACAGCTCCCTCAATTAATGAAGTTTTTTGTAGGAAAAATGTTGATTGTTGAATTGAAAAGTGCCTAAAAGATGAAGTAAGATATGATGGTGATGTGGTGAATAAATACTTGTGATTCTTTAGTTTATTTTGTGCAAATAATAAAACTGAAACATTGCACAATTTTCGGAACATTAGAGGGCTTTTACTGTGGAAATGAGGGACCGATTTTTTCTTTCGGATTTGTAGTCTACACGTCAATATACGTAAGTACAGTAATTTTTTTTCAATACGTGCAGATGCAGCTTATGCGAAATTTTTCGGGCAGCGACTATAACTAGCCTGTAAAACTTAGAGAAAAACAGGTATTAATTTTGAAGAACACACTGTGAGAGATTACTAATCGATATGCATATTAAACCCAGTATAGGAATAGTGAAAGATTCGTCTAACTGATTTTGAAGAAATCAAATTTCCGAATTGGCCTAAAAAGTTTCAATAAAAACATTTGCTTGCTCCAGTAGAGCCCTTTCACTTTTCGTAGAGGTGGAAACGAGTTCAGCATGAAGTTTTTACTCACACCTTCAACTAGGAAACTGAATGAACACAGGTCTTACTTTGTGGATTTTGTGTTCCAATCAATTTCATCATCATTGACAAAATTCCCAAAAATTGAAGTCCTCTATTTTTTGATATAGTTCAAATAAGAGCATTTGAAGGAGAAATACACAAAAACATTTTTGTAGCCATATAAATCAAGTATAAATACAACAAAAAATCGAATAAAATTAAATCTATATCATTTCATGTTAGTTAACATTACAATATTAAAATTATAATATAACAAAATATATACTTAATGTAACTTTACCTTCATTTTAGAGATAGCATGAAAATCTGTTAAATATTCCAAAATATCCCCTAGGTTCAATTTCATACATTCAGATATGCCTGTGGTGAATGAAGGACCATAGTCTAATATTATCGAAGGGCAGTCTTTTATAACAACGTTCGAAGGAATTGAACCTCCTATATCCTGAAAGATTGAACATCAATATGAATTTAAGTAATTGGTGAAAAGGAATGAAATCAATCATTCAAAATTATATCATTCAAGTGGACTTTCACCTGTAGAATTAAATTGATCAACATGAGCAGATTTGAATCTGGAATGGTTGTTTTGAACTTGAGCGCTTGGACTAGTTCGAAAACAACCATGCGGCTAAGGATAAGCTTGTCCCTTTCCTGGAAAACATTGACATTGTAATTTTCATTTATTTGTTATGGATATATCCTCACCTTCGTAAAAGCCCTGTAACACAGGTAACAAATTTCAACGAGCATGTTGTATTGCAAAACGTGAGTCTGTATTGCGTAGCTCAGAACTTTTGAAAAAGGCTCCAACAATCCCTATAAAAGGAAAATCAACAGAGTTCCTAATCAGGAATGAATTACTACTTTCTACCTTGAATTGTGCAATCAAGGGAATTTTGAAAACAGACGACATTATTTTCAGAAGTGGTGTCATATCGTCCAGAGTATTCAACAAAAAAATTAATTTCCTATATAACAATTCTAACTGTTGTAGTACGGTTCCCCATATAGGCGTACTACCACCTAAGGCAGCTTCTAGAGGCAGGCAGTTCAAATAACATGCCATGTTTTGAAGAATTGTTGGTAAAATATCAACAGGCAACGTTTTCTTGGAATTGAATGTCTGAAAATTAACCAATGGTGATAAATAATTCAAAGCCACAAGAAATATTTTACCTCTAACAAAAGTTGTAAAGGTGCAACAGGACTCAGTTCATTAAAATCTATGAGAGCTTGAATAACACTTTTAAAAAATTGTACTCTAATATTTTCTGGAACAAAAACAGTGTGTCAGTAAATGTACTGAATATTTGATATTTGTTTTTTTTTAAATACATCTAAGAAGAGTTGAACAGAATTGAGACTTTTATTCGTTTCATATTAATTGAATCAATTTTTGATGAGTACAATTCATTGGCTTCAATTCGTTTGTTTTGAACATTAGGTGTATGTGTTATTTCAGATTCATGATTCCACATCATGAATCTGAGCCTATGCGCAAGGAACTTTAGACCTGCCATTTTGTGTCGGGACAATGAAATGAGCTCCAAATCTGTTCTACTGATGAACTTCTGTAGAAATCAAATTCTAGACCCTGGTTACAAAAAGACATGGATTCAAAGTTTACTGTCCTTCCGTATGAACCACGATACACTAACGAATCAGATCATTTTTTCAAAAACTTGATCATGGAAGTAGCCTTCAAAACTTCTGGCTCACTCCAATAAATGAAGACAAAGATCCTGGAAACAAGATCTTGGAAAATTATAGACAAAAATCCTAAAAACAAGATGTTGGAAAATTATAGACAAAGATCCTAAAAAGAAGTGTTGGAAAATGACATCCGGATGAAAGGAGATGACAAATACCTGCACTAAGGCGTTCTAATCGTATAAAAGAACAAACAAGGAGATAAAACGTTCAATTAGAGAAGGGCCATGAAGATGATAGCACAGTCTGTTATCGAAAGATAATAATTAGAAGTTATCAAAGCTAAGGACTTTAACAAAAATATATCAGTCAGTGTAAGCGAGACATTAAAACTCGTTTTAAAGAGCACGCAGCACATATTCGATTTCGAAGCCCAAAAAAATCTGGTTTCGCTCAACACGCTTTGGGGAACAGCCATTGAATAAATGAAAACTGTCTGAAATTGTTGAGATCCGTCCATGACACTAGACTTTTGGATGTTTTCGAAAGTCTGGAAATTTCTACCCTAAATCAGTGATGTGTATCGCACTTTGTTGAATGTGTATCGAAAAGAGACAATCAAGCAGTAACAAGTCATGAATTGCAATTTGTGAACTGAATCAAGGTAAGTATCGAAGTTGTTCAACTCTGCATGTAGATATTTACAAAAATACACAACATTTTTATTGCTATATGTAGATTACATTTCATTTAGAAACATACCTGGTGCATTAGTTTGGAACATTTGCGTAAAAATTCCATTTGGTGCTAATTGGTGTAGCACACATCTTAAGAATTGATGTGCTACACTGACTGCTCCACCAGGTAAATGTATATTGCTTTCACTTTGCCAAGGATATATTGCATTGGTTGCCACTCTGAAATATGAAATTTGAACATCAGAAAAAACATGGAGAGACCACTCAGTGTTTCTGCTGATATTCTCCAAACTTCCATAAACATATCAATATGACGACTGAGAATATTAATATAGAATATATGTCCGATACTTATTGCTATATATGATGCCATTACTATACTATTCGATAACTTAACCTCTGATCAAGATTTTTGAAAGAATTCAGTATCTATTGACTTACTTAGCCACGATACTCAGAATATCCGGTAACATAGGTGCAGCTAACGCAGGTTCTCGATGAATGAAAGTTCCTAAGGTTACTATACAAAGGCCAATTTCTTCGTCACTGTATTCCTCCTTGACTAAACCACATTCTGAACATCTTTCATTGATACATTCATCTCCAATTCGAAACGAGCTTTGTTTCATATCATTACGTTCTAATTTTGGGGATAGCTCGGGACTAAGCCAGGCTCCTGGTCTTCTTGGATCGTGTACAGAGTAAGAGTTCATTGCAAAAGGTCCAACTTTTCTCATGCGTTGTCTATGATTCACTATGAGATCTCCTGAAAAAATTATGAATACACTGAGCTATGGCTTGATGGAAGTTAACGCCATCCATGATGATAATTACATAAGTTCAACATTATAAGTTTTATTCAAGATACGTTTACTTCACGTTAGTTTCACTAGTTCAAATGTTTCAGTCTCAGATCTCAATATGCATTCTCAGGTAGATAAGATTTATTTGACAATAAACTGATTAGTTTAGTTTTTCTACGCCTTGAACTAATTACTTATTCTTTTGAGACCCCATTCAGCTGTGAGTTGTGATTCTTGCGATAGATCAAAAAAAAGGAATGGTCTCAGTACGGTTCCTTATGGTACTCCATAATGGACCGTTTGTTCTTCACCCAACTCACATCCTATCCCATACCATTTTTACTCTGCCCCCTTGGCTTATATTTGTTAGTGACAAGTTTCAGAACACTTTCCACTTTTAAATTGAAAAGCAAAATTTTCTAGAAAAGATTCATTTTTCTTAATACGTTGACAAGAATAATGTGGTCACGAGATGTGTGCTAGTATCTGTTATAATTATTCTTATTAGTTTATTTTCTCCTGCGTTCATTTGAAGTTGAAGATTTTATTACAATAAAAATAATTCATCACCAATGTGACTTTTCTTGCTAAACATTACTTACTTTGATTATCAATTTTTATGGTTTTCCAGTGTCCACTATCATCAAAGTCCATAGGATTTGGTGGACTTTCTAATGCAACCTGCTTCGTAAGTTTTCTAGGACTATGGGAGTGTGAAGAGGTTGGTTGAGGATATTCCTGATGATGGCTGTGAAATTTATCTTGCTTTTTATTATCAGATTTCGCCAACTGATTACTGATTCCTAAGGCCTGTCTCACTTTATCTACCAATTGGGATATATCTTTGGTGTGATGCCCAATGGGTAGTAGTCTTTCTTGACTAGGAATTTCTAGTTGAGACTCTACTGTAGGTGAGAAAACATCGTCTCTTAAAGGAGAATCTGCAAATATATCGTATTATAAGAAGTATAATATGAATTATAAACCATAAGAAGATTGAACTCAGATTCTATGAAGGAGTTATTTGTTTCGCTCTCTGCAAAAAGATCATCTACTAGGAAAATTTGTTATGATTTTCTTGTCTGCGTTGCATATTCTGAACTTGTAGAAGTGTATATGTCGGAACCACTGGAAGACTAATGGGCAAGAGAGTACAAGAACACTGTTGGCTGGGGCATATAAAGAAGTAGATACTGGTTAAGTATGCTCTGAGTGCCAAAGATCATAACACCCAAACTTCAGTAAGTATTAGAACAATTCCACACAATCAACATGGAAAATACATCATTAAAAATTCATTGGGGAGATCCAACCTAATTACAAACAAACTAGAAGAACCGCACAAATCTAAATAAAGCTCAGGGAGGGGAAAACGACAAATGGAACATGGCGACAAAAGAATCGCTTAGTTTATATTTATACTAGTCGGTTTCCCTCATACATATATTCAGAGATAGTGTTGATTCAGTGTTGTGAATCCAAGACTTTTCACAAGAATAAAGACTCATAGTTTGTGAACCATGAAATTAGCTTTCAAAATTACTCGTAAACTTCGACAGATGTTTGGGTAATCGGAAGAATTCTGGGGTTTACGAAATAAGCTATGGAGAACCGACAACATGTATTAAGGTCAAACAAAGCAGAATATGATAACTCGTTTCAATGAACACGTTTCACATATACGGTTTCGTGAACTTGAGGAGTCTAGTATCGCTCAATATGCCTCCGAAAACAGCCAAAGAATAAGTCAGAGATGCTTGAAATTTTTGAGGCCGACTGATTATTCCTATAAGATTCCTATAGAATCTTATAGGAATAATATGATTTTGTGTAGAATCTTTTCAAAGTGAAAGTTCTAGATCAGTGTTTCATCGAGGATACTACCAAAGAGATTCAATGTGCACGTTTCTGGGTGAATTTGGACATTCTAATATCTAAGAAAAAATGAACAGCAAATGCATTTACTTACCTAGCATTCTAGATGACCCTATTGGAAGGAGCCTCTCCAACGAGGGAGTTGGTAAAACGGTCTGATTGTTTCTGTAACAGTCATCGCAGTCTGAAACAGGCGTACAAACTGGGGTAATACTGGGTTCGATAGTTTTCTTATGCTTTCCTAAAGGTGTTGGTCTTCCCATGCGTGGGGTGTCGACAAGAGAAGAAGTGACTTGCTTGTGAAAATCCGCCACCCCAGTTTTTGCTACTTGTGCTGTATTCATAGATGAAGAAGAATTTAGTCTCGAACAATTCTTTATAAACTCGGAATGGGACTTTATCGACTCCTGTACCAGCCTATTATCGCAGGATTTCAGTGAATCATCTTCACTTCCTATAATCCAAGTTGGTCTACCTTTATTGGCGACCCTATATATTTGGTTTATGTATGTCTCCTTAGGCGACTTCACTATGACCAATTGCTTCTCACAGCATGTGTCTGTAACGCCTTCCTCGAAAGAATCCTGGACACTTCCTTGTAACGTACTGTCCGACAAGTCACTTTCTGGTATTGCTATAAGTTCCGACTCGGTGTCATCGTCAATGCTAATGTCGGCTTGTTTCTTGGCGGATTTCTCCCATTTTTTCTCTGGATGAACGCACTGTATTGCTTCCTCCCAGTGTGTTTCCATACTAGTCGTCGAAGAAGGTTTGGCGTAAGCTACTTGCACTTTGCCGCCTCTAGAGCTTACAGAGACTTGAATTGACTGGCCATCGGAAGAGTACATCGGAGATAGGGGTGGAGTGTTACGTTCAGGATGTTCCATTTCTGTACCAAGAGAAGGTTGACTCACATCTGTAAAGTACCAAAATTCATTAGTTTCTATTCGACCATTTCCTCAGAAGTTGGTGAGGGTGTCGACATATCGGTTGGCTCATGCCATCCAATTTTCCGGATATTTTGGGCATGGAGCGTGTGGCTGCAGAGCTGTAACTCTGGAAATAAGGGAAAGCACCGATTTTTTCTTTCGGATTCCTAACCTTCATCAAAATATGCAAGTACACACAATTTTTCATTCAAAATCGGCGGATGCAGCCCATCCAAAATTTTTTCGAAAAGTGTTGAGTAATGTTTATTTATGGATATAAGAGGACTCCCTTCCTTTTGAAAAACAAGCATCAATCGGTGTATATAGATAATGAATACAATGAAAACTTGACTGTGAAAAGAGCTATTTCATAACAGGGCCAGATTTAAATTCATATAAGTGGTTTATGCTTGATTTCATGAATTTTATGACAACCAATGTTCCTGTTCGCAAATATGTCGTATTCTAAACTCAAAACTAAAAACTATTATTCAAAGACAGAATAATTTTTCAATCATAACGAATTATACCTAAATGAAACAAAAACTTTATATTTAGAACTGATTATCATCTGATGAAATTGTATATGTTAAATTACTTGATGTATCAATCTATCCTGGATACCCCGAATAAACTAAATAGGATATTGCCAAAAACTAAGTTTGCTGTATGTAGACTATCACATCTCTTCAATTTAGATGTTGCTAAGAAATATAGCTGTCCTAAGATTAGTACCGCGGGGTTACCCAAGTATAAGTTACTGCCATAATGATCGTAAAGTTTTGTTGTTTATTAATGGAAGATTTTTGACTGTTTCCATTTCGAAATGTTATCATGTTCTAAAAAATAAATCATATACTCACCTCTAGATCTAGATGGAGGACCTCCCATTATTATAGTTGCTGGTATTCTCCTACAATGATGATGCTGTGAGTCTAAAGTGTTTAAAACTATCCTAATCAAGGAAGTCAGCTGCATGCAGTAGGGTTGCTGGTTGTATTGGTACTGTAACAGAAATGTCTTAGGTTACCTCTGTGTACAACATGGATAGTTTCCTCTAAAATGTTTCGTAACATAAACAAAATACTTAATATCCCATTTCAAATCTTGTCACAATTTACATTTGTTCAAAATGAACAAATATGTATGTTGAAGAGTTTACACCCAGTTTTGATTAAAGGTCTCATCGATTTGATAAAAAGCTCATTACAAGCAAAATTGTCCAACTATGCATCATGATTTTTTTGTAGGGAAGCATTTCCAATCCAGTTATATTGTGATATATTTTTCTCAGCAGATAGTCGTTGTGTTCCATTGTCTTTGACAAGTTTGCAAGGGCAAGCATGTATTGTTTCTTATTTCTGGTATTGTGGTCATGAATTTGACAACCAGTTGTGTATTTTTGTGAACCTATAACCTGAATTATTATTTTTACCGGACCAATACATACTAGCTAGAGATAATTCTTCTCTCAGCAGAACATCATAGCTTAAATTACTGTCATTCCAGTAATAATTGATTTTTTGATAATTTCAGCCCAAGCTGAATGGCATGTACCTTCTAATTCAGACTTTTATCAATTCAGAAACCAAGCAGATATTCATTGATGTTGTCATCTGTGGCCTCACGATTTTTAGAAAAAGTGATACATTGATGAATCGAAGAGGTTTTGTATTAAAGTGTATAATATTTTAAAATTCTTGCAAAGCGCTTTCGACTTTCGTCGACATTGAGTCTCATTTCTATCCATTATTCGAATACAAATACTTTTCACTTTTTGTCAGTGTTTACCGTGATAACATGATCATTTCATTAAAATTTCAGTTCAAAATTTGTATTACCAATTGAGAAAGTGGTATCAACTACATACCCACATGAATAAGTCAGCAATATCGATGAAAATTTGTGGGTCATTCATGTATATTATGAAAATCAGCGTTTCCAGCACTGATCCTTGTGGGACTCCGTTATTAATTATTCTACTTTCGGTTAAATATCGTTACAATATGTCAAAGTGAGAGCTGTTTCGCGAAACCCGTATTTTTGAAATTTTTTTAGCAGAATATCATGGGAGACACTCTCAAAGGCTCTGGATAAGTCACCATTGCACGAGTGTTTATTCCAACATCGTTGTTATTTGCAGTCGTATAGATAATAATACATATAACAGCTTGTGATATTGCTCTAAGTGTAAGACATCGAAAACCATATTGTAATTTTTTGATGATGACTTCAATGTTTTTAACAATATTGATATTACTGATATAGTCATCGATATCCCTTTTTTAATAAATGGGTGTTACCTCAGATTAGATGAGAATTCACCCTTCACCCAAAATATCAGGAATAATATTTGTACTCGTGCTATAGACAACTGTAGCTTTTTTTTCAAGGAGTTAATACCAATTTTCTGTAGTTTACTTTCTTCTTTGTATTCTTGGAATTTTGTCTGTCAGGATTTCAATTATGGTGGAATTGAACATTTTAAAATCATTTACTGGTAACTGTGTACTTTCGCCTCTATCACTTTTGAGTGATCTCTTATTTCATTGACAATTTTAGAAGCGGTTTTACAATTGTTTTGCCCTATAGTGTTTTATGTAGGCCTGTTCAATATTTAGGTCCCCTGATAATGTAGTTCTTCTTCAAGCTGCAGTAGCTGGCTTACAAAACGAGCTAAATGGTTCCCAGCCTGATCCCTGACAAGCTGGTCAACTTCTGTGGCACCGTATAGAAGTGAACAATTCTATACGGTGTCTGTGATGAGATAACAGCGATTTTACACTGTCATCAAATTATTTACAGGTTACTTGGCCATTCACATGTCATCTAAGCGATGTGTGCAGATCGGATAGTGAGAGTTGAGGTTATGTATGAAAAATATAGTGAGGGTGAACATATGATCCTTTGGTGGGACATTTCAGTAGATCAATTTAAGAGTTGCCCATATCGGCTCCATATCAAACTATCCACGGTGCCTTGCTAAGAAAGACACCGAGTCAAATTGTGTGTGCATATGTGCCTCTTTTGAAAAACTATTAGCTGAATACAGTTGAACTTTGAGGTCATGAATTCATACTTTCTTTTTTGTAATTTTCCCATCTGCCAGCGGATACTACTATTGCAAATGTAAACACCAACTCACCTTATACAATAGAACGACTAGAGACATGAGCCAGTTTTTCCGAAAATGCGGTTCCAGTGCCCATAAGCTGTACATGGGTTGTTGGAATTCCATTGTGTTAGGGATGTAGTACGGAGACGGAGAATACTGAAGTAGTATAAGACAAGTCGGCAGTAACAGTCGTCCCATCAAATGATTCTGGTCCAACAATTGTGGTAGGTTGGAAAGAAATACACTGAATGCTGGGGAACATCTCAGTCGTTGCGGTGGTAAGTACAGACCCCTATCGTTCTGGCTATAACCGAGGAGAAGGTACAGATGTCGAAGTACTATCCCTTGAGTTTTGGCCAAGTTCTTCTCTTCTGCAGGGTAAGCTTGGTCTGAACGTGATAAGAACTGCATCAAAAGGAATACTAGTAGATGCATCGTTTCTTTGTCTGCTTCCTCCAGATCGATTACTCTTTGTAGAAAAGTTGTCAAAGTCTGATCCTCCACTACATTCAAAGAGTGCATGTGTCCATCTGTAAGTATCGCTCATATAATATTTTTGGGTTCATTTCTATTGCGTATAAAAAATCTCACAAGAAATGAAAAAATTTCAATTGAGAATTCGAAACTATTACAAATAAAATTTGTTATATTTAAATGGTCGAGATGATTGTTATTTCTGATGCATTGTATTGTTGCTGAATTGTTGCTTATTGCTTATGCAAACTTCCAACAATAACACGGAATTTTGAAGTTTTGAAACCACCCTCTTGCAACTATGTAAACATAAACATTACAAAAAAATATCTTTCGAAAGTTAATAGTTTTCTCTCTTTCATAACTTTTTGAAACAAAATCATGGAACTGAACAATGAGACCAGGTTACATAGGGTGTAGGAGTTGAATGAGCCTCAGCGTTCACTACAAACATATAGATACATTGCTCACTAGATTTCAGAGAGACAATCCCATATCATGTTTGCCAGAAGAAATAGTTTTCACAAAATTTCATGGTGAATGAAAGAAGACAACAGGACGTATTAAAGACACCTGAAGCGGTGCATAGATTTTTTATATAAAAATTCTTTCAGAGACATTAATCTAGAAGGTAAAATATCAACCATTTTGAATTTATGTTATGAGAGGATGCACATTTAACAACACTTGTTTCGCTATACAATAGCTTCCTCAATCATTTTCATACGCAAAATTGCAACACGTGTTTCTCTATACAATAGCTTTTTCAAACAATATAGGAATGTGGGCTTTCAAGCATTTTCATATTCAGTATAAAAACTGCAACCCGTGTTTGGCTATACAATAGCTCCGTCGAGTGTTTTCATTCTCAGTAACACGTGTTTCGCTGTACAATAGCTTCCTCGAGCGTTTTCGTTATCAGCAACACGTGTTTCGCTATACAATAGCTTCCTCAAGCGTTTTGATACGCAAAACTACAACACTTGTTTTGCTATACAATAGCTTTCTCAAGCAATATAGGAATGTAGGCTTTCAAGCGTTTTCATACTCAATATGAAAACTGGAACACGTGTTTTGCTATACAATAGCTTCCTCAAGCATTTTCATTCTCAGCATCACGTGTTGCGTTGAACGATAGCTTTCTCAAGCGTTGTAATACTCAGCAACACGTGTTTTGCTTCACAATAGATTCTTCAAACGTTTTCATACTCTGTATGAAAATCACAATACATGTTTCGCTATACAATAGCTTCCTCAAGCGTTTTCATACTCAACAACACACGTTTCGCTATACAACAGTTTCTTCAAGCGTTCTCATACTCTGTATGAAAACCTCAACACGTGTTTGGCTATACAATAGCTTCCTCAAATGTTTTCATAGTCAGCAACAGGTTTTTCGTTATACAGTAGCTTTTTCAAGCGTTTTCATACTCAGCAACACATGTTCGCTATTCAATAGCTTTTTAAGCGTTTTTATCCTCAGCAACACGTGTTTCGCTATACAATAACTTCTTCAAGCGTTTTCATACTCAGTATGAAAACCGAAACACGTGTTTGGCTACACATAGCTTTCTCAATCGTTTTAATAATCGGTAACGTTATGGATTTTCATCAAGTATCAGCTAATTCCACTACATATCTAAAGAAATTATTAAAAAGGTGATAGTAATGTTTTATCATTGATGTACTTTCCAAAAAACTTTATAGTTTTCTAATAAAATGTAAATGACCAACATTCTACCACAAAGACAGATATTTTTCATCAAAGCCATGAAATACAAAATTGGGATATGCCTTGAAAATTCTCATGTCTGGCTTGATCTAGTTGACCTCATAACCCTACATTATTGTATTGTTTCAAATCTTTCCAGAATTCAACATTGTCTGATAAATTAGGGAGAACCTTCAAAAATAAGCTATAAAGATTTGGTACTTGTGATGCACTGTTTGGAACCTTTGGTGTACTAATGAATATTACTGGAGTTTTTTCCCAACGCCAAACCGTTATTTTAACACCTCGACACGTGTTTCAATCACCAAGTGATGATCTTCAAGAGGAAGATGAAACTAATCATACTCAACCAGGGATAGCTTTGTAAGTATAATTAGTTTGATCTTCCTCTTGAAGATGATCACTTGGTGATCGAAACACGTGTCGTGGTGTTAAAATAACGGTTTGGCGTTGGGAAAAAACTCCACTTATATTTGTTTGGTTTCCAGAGTTCAACCTGATTGATTTGTAAAAGTCATTTGAGTGTGTTGGCGCTTCATGCAGCCATCTTGGTAAAAGCCTACTGGTTCTTCAATCAAAAACTTACGTACATTCATGCGGCACTACAGCAAGACACTACATCTAGTTTCTACCTGGAATGCTGTTACTAGTGCCTAAAAACTGACCCAGTCCAAAACGTGAACTTTTCCTTTTTAGAATTGGCGCTGAATATTGGCGGCTGTATACCTTTTCTTTAGGTTCTGGAAGAAATGGAATAAATATTGAGCCAAGAATTTTTTTAAATCTCTCTAATAGCCTAATAACTTAGAACATGAGTAATATCTGATTGTAACGACTCATTGTACAAATTATTTTAATCTCCGTAAAGTTTCAAGGAAATTTGGAGAAATAGGTGTTCTAACAGACTACTCTGATGAAATGTTTTGAGTTTTTCTGAAACTGGAATCTGTGCACGTATTATGATCGTTATTTTTCTGTGTGATATAAGTGTGTCATGAAAGAGGTAAAACATTTGAGTTATTGAACACGAGATTTGTCTTTTGGTAGGTGTAGAATCCAACCATCATCTTAAAAAAAATCACATCTGTTCACCTTACCTTTATTTTCATGCCGAGTGACTATAGAAGCAGGAGCTGACATTGTACGTTTGTAAGGCCATTTCGTTCCAAAACTAGCGCTTAATGTTTTGACAGAACTGCCAGCGCTACCATCAGATTGCGACAAAGCTTCGTGAGCCCTCTGGACTTTTCTTACCAGTGTTTCGCTGTTTGCATCAGAATTCCTTAAATCTAATGAAATGGTTAAAGTAAAATCGTCAGCCTAATACCGGCACTAAAAACCAAATTAAAAATGTGGACCAGTCTAGGATTCTCCCTTGCTTTTCGAACATCCTCAAGTTTTTTAAACTGGTCCTCTATAACATACGCAGCAGATTCACAGTTTCAATTCGGTTTCGATTTTCATTAAAATTCAACCATTCAGGAAGCTTTCGTCAAGAAATCTGAATTTACTGGACCTATATCCCTACTTCCCTACTAACATTATAAATGCGAATGTAAGTTTGTTTGTTCCGGTTTCACGCGATAACTACTCAACCGATCATCATGAAAATAAATAACAAATAAAAAAATAATTATATTTTATGTAAGATAAAAAAATTGTTTGTCAAAAAAATCTCAAAGTCTAGCTACTTTGTTGGTTATATTAGTTTAGGTTAGGTCATGTTAGGTTAGGTTAGGATAGGATAGGTGAGGTTAGGTTAGGTTAGGTTACGTTAGGTAATAATTTAAAAAAATTGATAATCCCAGCCAAGCATTAAAATATAGTTCTCATATTGATTCATTTCGATCGTACTGACACTTATTTAATGGCATAAATGCAAGCGAAGCCGCGGGTAAAAGCTATAGTTACTTATATGAATGTGAAAATTTGTGAGGATGGATCTATGTATGTATGTTTGTGTCTCTTTCACGCCTAAACGACGGATTCAGATAAAACTTTACATAAATACAGCTTATACATCAGAATAACATATATGCTACACTCACAAAGGTTTTGTGTAATTTTGGTCATAATGTAACGATGCCTATACCGTTGCCTATACCGTTGGAGTTACATTGAGATAATGTACCGTGAGATTGTTTATCTTAAATAGTTCTAAACAAAAGTCCGCGAGAGCATATATCTACCTCTTATGTGGTAGCCACTATATGCAAAATACTGAGCCATAAATACAATTAAATTGGATACTTTTTTACAATGCACATTTTAGAATGTAAATTACTAGTTGTTGCCTGCTTTTATATTAACGTACTGAACCTAAAATCTTGAAATGTGCAGGTAGGTCCTTTGTATAGCGTAAATAAGCATATCAAGAAAGTGTAGTTAATCCGGAACGGTTTTACTATTACTATTATACATACGTATCCCACTGAAACATCTACGGGTTTATAGCTGAGTCACCAGTGAAATAATACGTCATCAACTGTCTATCAAGCCTTTCGCTATTGCCGTGTTTGTTTCATTCAAATAAAATTTTGCAGCTGCTGTCACCAGATGCGTATTTCTCCACATCAAATTTTGGATGTTAGGCATATCCGAAAGAGGCTTGAATTCCGCCTCCTGCACTAGGAGGAGGTCTTTAGTTGCAGGGAGAAAAGATCTTAAAAATTTGCAGACACTTCATTCCAAGAGGTTACTATGGTAGATTTTGAAATAAAAGCCTACTTGAAACCTTCAGAAGATACTTTATTCAATAATAAAGAACATAAAGAAAAAAATAGACAAAAAACAAAAGTACCCAAAAAAAAACCATAACCAAATCTCGAAAAAACTCAATATTTGTGTCTTCGCCAGAACTTACTATAATAATATACGAGAGTGACGAAATACTCTAACTTGGCCGTTGATTTCTGACCGCTAAATATCTATAAGGCAATTTTTAGGTCCACTCTGTATACAAATTTACTATAGCTAACTCCTTCCTAAAATTATTTAACTTTTTGCACTACACTGCTCGATTTTCGCTCAAACCTTATTTAGTCCTACGTCTACGAATAAAATACTATCCAAAGTCGCGCTAACCGCTTGTTTTCTAATAATAAAATCAAAGATTCCACTCAGGAAAACTATCTCCCAAAACAAAATACCGCCCTTGATCGACCGTCAAGAGAACTCTTCAAACTCCCAAGTTTTCGAACCTCCTCAGACTCAACTTCCCGAAAACCTTTCGCACTACTCTGAGACCGCTGCCTCAGCACAGAACTCTCTGTATTTTCTCCTTTCAAAAGCCAGGAAGAAATCACGGATTCATCGTCCCCCCCGTCTCTCAAACCGACTTTCTAACAGCCGACCACGTGCGACGGAGGTCATCAGAAAAAACCTATTTAGCTGAATTTACAAAACTTTCAATGTTGGGATATTGATATGCCCATATTTACATCTTGAGCTACGTGACAAATATATCTGACTGTGCATCTTTTCAAACACTCTCGATCCTTCGGCCATAATTTTACATTGTATGAGAGACAGATCCGGCGTTAAAAAAAAGTCCGAATTAAAGAAATCTGTCTCTTCCCGAAATTAAAATATATATTATCATACATTGCTTTCGCTAGGTATTACAAAACGGAATCAGGAATGACCACCCACAAGGGGGAAAATAGGGGTTTAAAGATTGCATTAAATTTCGTCAGTTTTGAAATTGGAAACCTGAAGTTTTGGGTTGATGAACAAATATTGTAACTGTATGTTTAAAATGGTCTGTCACGAAAATTAATGTGACAAACCAAATTCTACGCGGCGAAGCAGCGGGCAACAACTAGTACAAGATAAAATATCTGATTGAAAACTATTTCGAACAGTAAAGCAATAATATTACAGAAAATAATATGAAATGAGTTCTTAGCTTTTCTTATATAATCTCACCTCTTAGATATGTAATTTCACCGATCTTCTCCAGGGATATTTGTGCCTCAATAAACAAAGTGTCGAAACGGTTAAGAAAAAAATCCCAGGTTAATATTTTCCTTTCGCTCATAGAATTGTGGAGTTGATATAACGACTGTAATACCATTGGACGATCTACTATGACGGAATCGAATTGGGTTTCCAGGCACATTATTAAAGACTGAAACAATAGCTTTGAAAATCAAACCGCAATGTTTCGAAGTGTTTACCTTAATCGCAGAGTCGTGTATTGTTCCCAAATAAAGTGTCGATCTTTGGGCAACATAAACATTATTATCATCCATGCTTGAAATCAAGTAACAAAATGCATTAGCCAGAGCTGCTTGTAATGGTTGTACATTCCTTAATGGACTCGAATCCATGAATCTTGTGATGACAGTTACTCTCTCTACTGCTGTAAATCTAATAGTCCAATCAGGACTATGGAATGCTTCTTGTATAACACGCCAGAACACATCGGAACCTGCTGGCAAAGTTATGCAATGCAGGAGTAAAGGTACCACGGTCTGACAAATGTGGGAATGTTCCGAATTGCATAGATCCCATAGGCTGAAAATGTGAACAGTAAATCACAAAGTTTGTAGTTTACTACAAGAATTCAACCAGTTTGAAGCTACTCACTTCTTTATAAACAAGTTTTCCTGACACCATATGAAAAATCCTCTATGTTCTCTGGAAGCCTTAGTGCAAGCATCACCATGTAGAATCAGGATATTCAAGCACTGTAGCATGTAGTACACAATATCAGGCTTATTTACTTTCGATAACTCTTGCAACAACTGATGTATATATTGTAATGGTTGAGGTAGATCATCCACCGTGAATTTGAACTTCCCTACTGAGGTTTGCCAAAAGTTATCAATTTCCTCTCCAGAATCTGTTTCGATTGGTTCATCGTTTTCGCCAATAACCTGAGCTTTCATCACTTGGACTGTAGCAGTAGCTGAAAAATATGGCTGGTCACAGTTAAATTTAATAACTTTCTATAAAAGTTTATATGATCCGATGAGGTTTTGCGCCTTTTACAGGTAGCCTTAGAAATAATGCAAGATCTGGCACTATGAATTGCGATGAATACCAAAAATCGATTTTATAGAATTTCAGAGATTGAACTTTCCTTGTCTAAAAACAAGGAACTTCTCGACGTGTCCATTGTTGGTGACCAGAATCGCTTAGGGTGACAACTAACTCGTTCCTAGTGATAGGTCAGTTACATGAACTTTTCCCTCTCTCTTTTCGGTTCAGTGCACTTCAGCCCTTAAAGGTTTTTAGAAGTTTCGGTTATCCACGCTGACCTGGCTAAATATGTCATTGATGAAAATGCATACAGTTTCTTTGAACCTCCCTTTTAAAAGCAGCAATCTTCTTTATGGATAATCACAGCTTCAGACCAGTGGACGTTATGTTTGTGAGTCTAGTCACGCTTCGTTATACTTGATTTACCAGTTTCTCTTCGCTGGGCGTTCTTCTTGTACTTTACAACCCAAAGTGGCATTTGCTAGCTTTGAAAATACTACAAATGGTGAGTTCGTATCCTTCGATATAAAAGGGTTGTACTGGTTGTGAAGGCTTCTCTCTCTCATTGGGGTCTTGTCCTCATCTGACCAATATCTGTTCTACCAGATTCATGTAACATCTATTGTCGTGAAGATCTCTCTTTATGTAACTTACTTCTTGTCTCGAAACAAATTGAGCACCATCACTAAGAAAGGAATTGCTGAGACCTAATTGATAATGCATGATCAATTAGATCTTAGCAATTACCCTCTTACTGATGGTGGTTGAATTAGTTCCAAATAATGTCCCACGTGCGCTAGTTTAGTGTAGAGGTGTTTTTCATTTATTCGTCTTTTTGACTTTCACGTCTTTGAATGGCAATCACCAAGAACCTCACCTCAACTGGACTAGAAGCTAATTCTTGGTTTCTTCAATGACTTTTTTTATCAAAGTAGCAATTCCGAACACAGTATTGCAGTATGATGATTCCTCAAGTTCCTTCTATTGGTAATCCTATTTCCTTCGACGAAAACGATGGTATACAGACTTTTTGAGTCAGAATTGGCGAGTTGATTTCTTTTGACCTCAATTTACTGACCAGCATCACAACAAAATACAAATTGTTAGCTACAGAATATGTGAAGCTGATGGTCAGTCCAAGTGAAAGATCCTGCCTCTGCCTCTATCAGTAGTTCGTACAGATATAAGTTATCCTCATTTGAGAAGTTTAGTGGATGTTTTTTTAATACGTTACATCCAAAGAATATCTTCATCTGCTTATACTGTTCCGTGTCTATTACAACTGTGCTAGCAAATGCTAACGATTCCAAGAACTGCATTTACTAGATACTGTGTGAATGGGGTCCTAAATCGGTGAAACCAAGTGACTGTTGCAGGTCCACATTGACGAGTACTCAAGAAGAACACGCAGGGAAAAGAAATGAGCAAGTTAAGAATAGTGCAGCATTTCTGGACCCGTCAACAATTTGAAAACAGAGAGGGGGATGTGCTCTCAATGAGGTAGTCTCAAATCATCATGAATGAATCAGACATCACCCGACATCACTATCACTAAACTAACGATTCAGAAATGCCATCGTCGAATAATGTGGTTTAAAAATGGAGTATCTGATTGAGTAATCAGTAATCCGATATAAGGTTATGATACAAATCGTTATGACCTACCAACATCAGATTCTGATAAAGTTATTGCTCTAGCATAGGCAGAGACAACTTTCTCTGCGGGGATGATTGGCAAATCCAGTTGTTCCGATACAGTTTCCACAGTAGCAGTCATTATCTAAAATGAATATTAAATTATTCTATAGTTAATTTAGTTTCAGTTAGCAGAATTTTCAAAGTTTAAATATGTAGTTGAATAATGAATATATTCCTAGCAAATTCATTGGCATGAAATTATTCAAGTAAGTTGAAAAGCTTCCGGCGTAGATATATAGCATTATTATCAGTAATCGGTTCAGTATTCAAGAAACACTTTATTGTGAGATATTCACTGATGAGTTTTACAAAAACGCAACACGTGTTTCGCTGTAGGGGAGAGGCGGGGAATCACCTGCAGCGGGCAATGGTTAGCATTTGTGCGTGATTCAAGTAAAGGTAAGTATTACATTATTATTTCGAAGTTACTCTATTTTTTTCATGAATGAACTGGCCCCTACTGAACCAAATGCCGTATATATTTCGTGGCAATATCGACCAATAATTTGTT